TTTAAATATATTTTCCAATTTCTTATCATGGATGTATTAAAATAAGTCAGCCTTCTCGTTTCTCTCTATCTGCATCTGATTTTGAAAATTTGGAGAGATTTTGGCTGCTATTAAAATCCCATCCTGTGAGACACGTTTGACACTCAGCTCCTTTCGCAGACGACTTGTTCTGCTGCATAAATTACAGACTGTGAGACATCAGCTCCGCCTGCTTCCGAAACAGCTGAAAGACTCAGGATCGTGCAGCCGTGGAAGAAGAGGCAGTTTTATACTTTAAAACAGAGGAACTGCAAAGTTCAAGAACTACCAAAGATACCTTAGTTTGTCCCAGGCACTGACTGACATACGTCTAGTTCTGCTAAAGACAAAGAAAGCCTCCGATCTCTCTCATCTCCAACTTTCCTGAAAAAGATGCACATCAGTCCCTGTTGCTCTGGGATTTATGTCTGTATCCGTATTTAAACTTCACTGCCTATTAGTAGAAGTTTATTCTTGCTGCTGCTACTATATTTGTTGATAAACTAGTGATCCATATTTAAAGTGGTGGTTGTGTAACTAATATTCTCAGGTTGAAACACACAAGAGGAAGTCAAGGTACTGTAGCTGGAATATAAAGTTCTGGGTAGAAAATGTGATGAATCTGCTGCTTTCCCGTAGTTGTGCTTAAAAAAGTTGTATTTATTTTCCAATATTTTGGCTTTTCATTGCAGGAAAAGCACAATGACTGCATTAATCAGCTGAACTAGATTCAGGGCTGTTTTTTGCACGCTGGATCCCTGTCATGACTTACTGGGACCCATTGTGCTTTTCCTGCTGTGACAAGTCAAAATGTCTGCCATGAAAAAGGTCTTTTCTGTTGCAGCACAGCGACTGTTGTTAACCATCTTTGTTCGGTGCAGTACAGTGATGGGGGGGGTCTCATCACCAGCATTGTGCGGGCTCGCATAGTGCTTTCACGTAAATCTTACACTGCCGGTGGGTTCTGCCATTTTGACCAACATTTTAAGTACTTCAAACTCCATCACAATGTTTCCTGGGGGTGCAGTGACGACGGGTCAGGAACTAAATGTTCTTGCAGTGGCTAAAAAAGGGCTTAAGTATTTACCATGTCTCTGGCTGTATTGCAACTAATGCATCAAATATGCTATCACTTGTTAATCTCTTTCATTGTACTTGTGCATTGATAATGTACATGATCGCACAAGCAACTGCAACTTTATTATTCCATGGTCCATGATCAAGGCAAACGGGTCTTACATTCTGTTTCAAAAAGATTAAATGCTACTGTTTGTCCCTCAAAGTTAAATACTTGAAACATCTATGCACTGCTTTATTCACCAAACACTATCTTATAGTATCTATCTTGGCTATCTTGTAGTATAGCTGAGGCTTCTATATTTATCTAAATTAAACCAGACCGTAATTATAAAGTTATACATGTTATTTTTGGAAGGCATTGACAATTGATCTGTTTTATTACTTAGGTATGAGAAGTTATTGTGGTTGAGGACTTGTCATAATCTGAAATGTTGAAGAGCAAAATGTAAGATGTCGGTGGCTTGATAAAAAATGAGGAAATAATAAAGCCATCAGGATTCGTAATCTGGGGATTATGAATATAAGAAGAAGAAGAAGAAGAAGAAGAAGAAGATATACTTTATTGATCCCCTAGGGGAAGTTGTTCTTCTTCTTTTTTTTTTAATACACACACACAGGCTGAAATACACACTTCATGCACTTGTGGACATGCAAACGGGAGAGAGATGGTGGAGTGATGGGGCTGCAACGTTACCGGCGCCCCATGAGCAGGTTTTGGGGTTAGGTTGCCTTGCTCAAGGGCAGCTCAGCAGTGCACAGGAGGTGGAACTGGTGCCAATACCTGTGCCAAATATCATAGAAAACCATCCAATGCTTGTGTAGTTATTTCACTCAGAAGGGAAAAAAGGCAACCATCCATAAGATCTTTTGGCAACTGAGATGCATTACGGACTAAATGCTCGTCCATCATCGAGGCGACTGTATTATCTAACAGCGAGTCTCGGGTCAGGTCATGTTTTCTCTGTTTTATTGTCAGTCAATCAGTGCAGAACTCTCTCAGTCCGGCCTTTGAGATTCAAACGAGGCCGAAATCAAGTACTGCCCGTGAGCAAAGTCCCCCTTATTAAATTCATTCAAATGTGGTCATCAAATATGGAGTAGCAGGTAGAAAGGCCTTTTGAAGGACCACAATGGATAAAGAGTCAGGCAGGAGTGGTAACCCCCTCCCACACACACACACTCATCCTTCCCCCATTTTCTGCAGCTGAATAATTCATGGCAGGAGGTTTCAATAATTCATGGGAATAACATGACAAGAGCGACTGCTGTCTCCTCTGGGGAGAGGCAGTGAATGAATAAATGAGTGAATGAATGAAAGACTTAACGTATGTAGTGACGGAACCCGCAATGAAAAGGAGGATCAGTGTTTCTGCTGACTCTGGAGATTTTAGGTCCGGTTTTGCTGTTGCATACAAGTTTTTGACATGTTTCTGACAACAAATTCTCGATTTGAGTCCAACTACAGGACTTGCCATCCGTTTATCTGACAGCTTTTCATCTTATTTTTGTTTCATTTTTAAAAGCATAAAATTACCTAAAATCATCATGTGCATCCCAGTAGCCCATGGAAGGCCGAGCTGGTCAGAGGCATATCTGATTATCCAGATTTGACTTTGTCAGGTTGTAAAAGCAGAAAAAAAACCTACCAATAGTTCAAATAGCTTTAGAAGCAACTTCATTTCCAAGCAAATAAATATATTCAGTGAACTGAGATGAAAAATTTAAAACTTAAAGGCCCATCTCTTTACTGCATCTCTAAATCAGCCTTGGCCCCCACTGAACATTGCCGACAGAACTGGCCCTTAGCCATCCTAACTGATGAGTTAAAATATCTAGATGCTGTCTTGAATTCCCAATTAAAATTTGAAGCACGTGTCCAAGACCATCAAGACAAACCTTAACTGCTTTTGACAAAGGCAGTCTTTCTTTTTGTGTAACTGTCTTGGGCCAGGCAACACAACCAGCAATGAAACCAACGTCATCACACAAATGCCAGAATAGCATGGTGGCGCTAGAAGTAAAGTCAGAGGAACACCAAAGTCATAAGGAAACATTCTCTGGGGACCACGAATGTCTGTATCAAAAACTGTGCCAATCCATAAAAGATATTTTAGAGATTAGGATTCATTGTCTGAGGACTTTGAATGTGTGTACCAAATATAATGACAATATATCCAATAGCTGTTAAGATATTTGAGAACTAAAATGGTGGATTGACTGACTGACCAGAATCCCTGGTTTGTGGAGGAGCTACTGTATAATAATCTTTCATTTGTAATGGTGGTTGTCCATGTAAAGGCCGTCCTTGAGAAGAGTCCGCTTGAACACACCAGAAGAAGGCTAAAAGCCTCCACCCTCAGCCATTCGACATACATCCTATAAACTTCCTTTCTTAATGAACAGTACAGGACCGATGTAAACTGAAATGTCACACCGAGGTGAACTCCAGGTGGAGACTGCCTGGTTCTCTTGTTACCTTTTGAACAATAAGACCTCATTCAACAGACAGACAGGTGACTGAACTCATCACTGGCATTACCAACCTCTTCTCTTTGACAGTTATCTTGTGCAAAGTTCAATCACTATTTAGGACTTCTGAATTTATCTTTTTTACCAATTTATCATGCTTTTAACACTTGCTCACAAGCAAAGAAATTTCATTCTACCATTTTTATTAAGATGATATATGAGTAAGTCACACGATTTCCAAAGTGAGTTTTACTTTTCTACAGAGAAGCATGCTGAATGTTCAGAGTTTGGTCTTCTACAGGCCTTTAAGGTCTAAGTTCCTGTGACAGTCAGAAAGAGGGTTAACTGATATTTAGCAGCAGCTAATTTTATCCTACAAGTCTATACTCTGTAGTTTCTTTTATTGAAACAAACCTGAAACAAAACCTGGCTCACATTAGCTGGAGGATGAGACTCTACACAGCTGACACATAAAAGCTGTACAACCTATGCTTTCTCTTACCGTGAATCGTCATGACAGGCGCCAGGAGCTGCAGCTACAGTTAATGATTGAGGTCGAGCTCCTCACTCAGTAGAATCAGAGGTTAAACTCCCCAAAACACAACACCTCAAATACTGTTGGCTAACTAACAGACAGTCGTCACAGAAACGGCGACTCCCCTCTATTAAACACACCCATTCAGTGGACAAGGTGTCGGTGATGTCATGGTGACAGAGGTGAGGGGAAAAGGTGCGAAGGGTGAGGGGGAGGAAGTGAAGGTGTCAGCTGTCTGACTGTAGGCGGGATGATGTGTCAGTCTGGTCTGTGGTACCTGATATCTGTGTGTGCTGAAGGGTACATTTCAAGATGAATTTAGCCTTTTGCAAGGATGATTCATGTGGTTCAATAACCAAAAATGTTACAGCTAAGGTCTGGAAACAAAGAGACATTACTTAAAGGAAGAGTGATGGGTCAAAAACGTGATCATGATCAGAAAGGTTGTTTTGATCATCTAAACCACATGTCGGTAGTAATCGCCCATGAACTACAGTAACTAGGCTACCGTAGGTCAAAGTTGAAACAGTCCGTTTTCACGTTTTTGTAGACGCTGGTTACATTTGACAGCATCATGATTTTACCATTGGCTTTTTCTTCTAGGTTTGTCTGACTAAGAGGATTGTTGTCTGATGGACTGACATCTTTTTTGTGACATCAACATGCTCCAACTTAATGTTTTCTGTGCCGTCTGCAGGTTGTTTGTCTGGCAGCACGATTTAGCCAGAACACAGCAAATTTAGCCACGGATCCGAATAACAGGTTGGATACATTAGAAAAGCGACATTTCCACCACAGTTGTGCTTGTTAAGACAGCGCGCTTGTTAAGCTTATAGCGAATTGTCACAAACATGTGACGATGGAGGAGTGTGAGGATGTTGGAGGAAGCTGGACTCACCTCTCTTGATGTGTTTGAGTTGTCTCTCGGCCTCGTCCCTCTCCTCCGTCAGTCTGTTGCACTGCAGGAGCAGACAGCGAGTCAACACATTAGATCATGCTCCACGACAGGCTGAATATACAGGTCACTGATATACCAACGGAGTACAGTTACACACACACTGTGAGTCAGACACAACCACAGGCTACACACTGAGCTGTTGCAACTTCATCACAAAGCACTTTAAGCACAATGTAAAAAGACAAAATGGTACCTCAATGTATTACTCAATTCCAAACCAACAGATGACTATTTACCATGGAAATTTTTTTTATTTAAAATTGTGCTCCCTTTCCTCAAATAAAAAAAAAACATTAGTTAATTATTTAATTAATAAATAGCACCCTCAAATGACTTACTTAGTTTTTTAATTCTCAAATGAATCGTGTTACGTTATTGTAGAAACAAATACTGATGTTACGTGTTATGGAACCTTTCTTCAGAGGCTGAAGGCAAATGCTTGATGATAAGAGACAGTGACAGTGGCTGTTTGACTCGAGGTTTTCTGGTGCCAGTACTGAGAACTTTTACTCAAGTAAAAGTAATCTCAACATCTAGTGGTATAGTTGCTGACTGCAATCCCCTAGCCTCACCCTACCACTCTATGCACGTTGGAGTAGGGCACTGACTCATGCAGGGGTGGCATCAAGTATGTGTCCCATCTTTCCAGTCATTGCCAACCGTTTTCATTCAGATATCTTGAGGTCAGAGGTCAAGGGATCCCTTTGAAAATGGCCATGCCAGTTTTTCCATCACCAAAATTTGCTGACATGCTAGCACTTTCACTATCTTTAAAACAGAGCCCACCACCACATCTGAAAGACACTGCAAGTGGAAGAGGGAGGGATAATGGGGTGGCCAATCAAATTTCGGGGTGGGGGGTAGCCAGTGGCCCCCTTCTAGAGATGCCTGAAAAGTAACTAAAGCTGTGTAGTGGAGTAGGACTATAAAGTAGCACAAAATAGAAATACCCAAGTAAACTAAGTACCACAAAATTGTACTTAAGTGCAGTACTTGAGTAAATGTACTTTCTTAAATTCCACTGTTATAGAAGATACCATACAGTCCACAACTAGCACATACGTCCACACAGTCCACAAAACAAGGCACAAACAACAAGACTGATCAAAGCCTTTGTTAAAGCATTTTTAATGGAAAAAAAACACACAGTCTCAGATCTCAGATCCTAGGAAAGCGCAGTAGAAGATTTCCTGTTCACCATGTTCTCCATATAAACATTAATATTACATCCTCCATTATCTCAAAATGTTGCCTGGCCTTTTTTTTTTATCACCACCAGCCCATCATTTCCTATGACAGACTGACTCTTTCTGCTACTGCTGACTTATAGGCTGCCCTACAAAGGGCAAAAAGGCAGTAATTTTCACATTCACAGGATCTGATCTAAGTACTTGTTGTGCTATGTTTAGGATGAGCAGCTGTGGAGAAGCCTGGTTTGGATGTTGGAGGGATGAAACTTGGGTGACAGGGGCAGCAGCTGCAGACGTCACTGAGGTTAGCAAGTGCAACCCTGCATCAACACTCAAGGGCAAATTGTTGGTTTCTTTTTGACTCTTTCTGGATGGAAAAGGACACAATTTGCATCAAACTATGAACAGTAAAACCACGCATAGTGTTCTGAAGTATGCACTCATCTTGTTAAAACCACTAAAACCAGTTTAAATCATAACTTTCAGACTTTGGGTTGATGTTGGATTAATTCTAAATGAAACATTTTGTTCCCAACCGACAGATCCTAAGAACATCCCCTTTCACTACATACACCAATCACAGCCAACTGTTGCGTCGCCAAATGTCGCCGGTGTCTTGGCCAAAAAATGACACTGGCTACAGTGAACGGCTAACTAGCAGATAAGTTCTGCCCCTGCGCGAGAGGTAATAACTCTCCATACCAACAGCTGTAACCGTATATTAGAGTGATCAGTTGAGATGAAGAAGACAACTGAAAAACTGGGCCTACAGATGCCCAGCGACAGCCCAACATTGGCTAAAGGCCGACAGTATGCCCAATGTGTCAGAGTCAAGCTCCTACATTCAAACAATGCAGTATGTTACGAACTACTGAGATACTTTGAAAAAAGGTCAAAAGAAGTCCATAAGATATATGCAACAGCGATACTGTTATTCTATCCAAGCAAACTGTTGGTAGCTTGCTCAAAGGTGTAACATCAACCGTCTGACAGCAACAATGACAGGGCAAATTATTGATTATGATATAAAGCTTTCTGGATTTGCAGAAACTCTACATATCACAAGTGTGTGAAGCTCATGGGCATTGTAGTATTTCTTATTTTCAGGTGATTATACACTAATGAAAACATACCTTGGGATACTATATTCCACTTTTTGTCAATAATTCCTCCTAAATGTTACACACTGGACCTTTAACTTCTTAAAACTGATGGGCAAAGCAAACCTAAACCTGCACTGAAAACAACAGCAGAGTCCAGTATTTTTAAAGGTGAAAGAGCACAAAATGAATTTTTTTTTAAGAGTGTGAGTAGAAAAGCTGCATAACATTTTCTGTTAATCCCCGACCTTCCCTCGAATATATTCCTGAGCTCAGTCTCAGAGAGGGAACATAAGCAGTTATTAGAGTTTCCTGCTGAACCAAGTAACTCTGAATTTCCAATCCAGTGAGAGTTTTTTTTTCATCCTCTTTTCTCCTCCAGTCTTATCTCAGGTTAACAAGGGAATGACATCATCTCATTATTGATCAGAAGTGAAGTTACTGCCTCTTTCCTTTACTGGACAGAGTTGGCCTTCTGAGTGACCGCAGTCAATAGTGGCGTATCTGCAACGCTGCTGTGCTCTGCACACGCTTCATTTAAAATGGTAATTGGAACTCGTAAAGCATTCAGTGACCTCCTGAGTAGCAAAAGTAACAGTAAACAATGAAAGTCCCTTTAGGTTCAAACAACCTCCAGAAGAAAGAACATACAATCAGTCATTACCAACTATATATACTGAATATCTCCATGTTTACCTTAAACTATCTAAGTCTTTGTCCTCTATCTGCATGATGCAGATTGGCCACAGTCCAATTGGTAACAAGATGCTTTTACCCCTGAAGGTTCATCAGATTGAGACCAATCATGTCGCATTATGCCTTCTAAATGCTTAAAATTTTAACCTTTATTGTTCCTCTCCCATCAGGCCAGTAGCCAGGGAACCAGATAAATCTGCAAGCTCATGTTTTATTTCATCTGGCAGATGTGTCTTCCCACCCCTCTCCAATTCACAGAGGTGTCCATCAGTGCTGAATCTGGTCAAGCCACTAACACCGTTCATCTAATATGTGGCAGGTTGAAAATGATGACTGCACGGCGGAGCGCTACCTCATTGACCAGTGAGGCATTTTCCCAAACAACCAAAATGGCTGCTGCTGATGTGGAACTGATTCTGTTGAACCTGCTATCATGTCAGAATTTAAGAAACCGGATGGTATATTTTCTCTAAATGAAGAACAAACAACTGCTTTTAAAGCTGTTGTTGGTAAGAAAGACGTGTTTGCCGTAGTTCCGACAGCACTCATTTACTTTACTTATTACTCGTTTAATTACACTAACTATGATACATCACACGTTTAGTTGCTCTAGCCAAATGTGTCCAGAGAAATGTTGATCGCCCTTGGAAATCAAGTTGTGTTGATTTCCAAGTATTGGATGAGGTGTTTCTTAAATGTTTTATTTAAATCAGAATTATTTTGCTACAGTTTGGAGGGCACAACTGGTGTGTCCTTTGTGGTCTTTTGTATGCCTCAGCGCAGGCCCATCAGCTGTATAATGATGCATTCAGGCAATCTTTGTCCCCTTGTAAAGCCCGGAAAAATCCCAGAGTGACCAAACTGTATTTACCAGGTGTTTGCATTCAGGTGGTCATCAGTCACTGGTAAATACATCAGACCAAGGAGACCACTGCAGAAACCACTGCTGTTTGTTCTCATTAGCAGCTTGGACAAATACTGGTCATCCCAGATTGATGCAGACAAATGAATATAACTTACTAAAAATAGATAAATAGTTTCACGTTTACTGTAAACTTGTATCATGGAACTACCTTGAATTCACCACTGATACTCACTTTGAGTTTACATGGAGCACCATTTCTTTTGGTCTCTCTTACACCTGTTATTACAGTTGGAATATAATTTCTGAAATAAAATGTCAATAAACACCAGACTGATGCTTCGTATGTTGCTGAGTTGTGTACTTACATTATCCCAAATGTTTCCAACTATACAGAGGAACCTGTTTCAAGCACTACTGTCAGGATGTAGTGAACGTTTCAACAAATAGGACAAAGGTTATTTTTTATAAAAGTTACCTTCTGCAGCTTTAAGTTGGGGACTGAATCTGGATCTGGATACTGACATCTGATCCTAAAAAACGTTTTTGTTACCTAATTCTGGGCTGTGATCAGATCTTATCACAAAATATTTTGTGTGTGAGGGAGGACTGGCCAGCTACTGCAGCAGGAGGAGGCAGAGTCAGGTGACCTTTTCAACTTGCTAGGTGGATTTGTATGTATGTATTTACCTGGCATTTACATGTTTTTGTCCTTATCCAAACAAGATATCCAGACACAGGCTGAATGTTAACACCAGGTGTAAATGTATCAGATCCACTTAAAGGAGGATGGGGGTGATGATACATCAAAGGACTCTTAAGATTAGATAACCACGGTCTGATTCAATCTCTTTAAAAGCACACTTAACTACTCAGGGGCCAAAGATGTAACCAAACCTCACACAACCCTAGTCTGATCCTGACCAAACATGACAGATGTTTCAAACCTATCATGACATTTAAAGAAAAAGGGGGTATGTAAATATTAATTTGAGTCTTTGAAAGGGCGTAACTGCGACAAACCGAGGCCGATATTGGCAGATAAAAAGGGCATGAAGGACGCTTTTTCTCTCTCTCCTCCAGCAGCAGGAAGCACTTGGCCCACTTTCTCCCAGCTCTACCTGCAGTCTCACACACTGTCAGCTCAGATTTCCCTGAGGAGCACAGCGAGGGCGGCGGATTCACCGGCACACAGCAAGGCAGTGGCGCTGCCAGGGTGAGCGGTTCAATTCCCGGTGCTGCTCGGTGAACACGGGTATGCATCCTTTTCAATAAAAACTTTTGAACATGCTTGCAAACATATTTCATTACCTCCTCCCGGTTTCCTCCTGGGGTTACATTCTCATGCGTTTCTCCCTATTCACAGCGTACGTAACGGCTGAAGCACATGGGACATGGACGTGTTTGTAGCTTCAGATGATTATAAAAGACGCGCTCTGCTGTGGGCAGGCTGCGGCTGCCATGTTGTGCTGACGCCATGCTCCATGTATTCCATGTGTACGCCCTATGACGGGGGTCTCAAACTCAAACTGACTTGGGGCCACTGTTCACAGTCAAACAACAAGTGAAGGCCTGAAACCTGCTTACCAACTCAACTCTTTGTACACGTTTGCCTTTAAACTAAATTGTGCCGAACGAAATCCATTTTTTAAAATAGAATTGTGTTTTTATTTTAAATGCATTTGAATGGGGAAGTTTAAGATAAGATTTACTTTTACCCTACAGTTCCCAAGCCAAGTCCCTACACACTAAGCTACTGCTGCCCCTAAATTGATATAAAAAAACTAAATAAACTTAAAAAAAATAGTAATAACAATCTTGCTTGATAGATTATATTATATTTTTGACATCATTTTGCAGGCCTGGTGTAACACAGTTACTCCAAATGTTGTTTCCCTGGCATGCACGTTCACCTCGTCCTCCTCAGAGGGCAGTGGGCTGCACAGACTCTCTGGGCAGGGGCAAAAATGTAATGAATGAATAAATGAAAACTAAATATTAGTTTATTCCAGAGGGCAAATTATTCTATTATCCTGAGAATTAAAAGTAAAATCAAAATAATTTTACACAAAAATGCTGTTGCAGTGTACTTTATTAATCTGTTGTCATCAGAATGCAGGAAATAAAGTCTGAAACTCAATTTTTTGGGCCGCTTTGGTTTCAGAGTCCCTATTTGTGAGGCGAGTTTGAATCCCTATCTACTTATAAGATCTGACCGCACAGGCTGACAAACACACTGCAACATCAATGTGTAGTTAGCTGTCCATATTGGAGGATAAATAAATATATACTGCTGTAGCAACAGCAACAACTTTCCACTTGAACTAAATAAAACTAAATCTCAGCTCATAAGATCATTTACAGGCTTTCAACCCCATTTTCATGGTCTTCATTCAGTGAATCAGGCTCAGGTGTGTAATCAGGTGCTGTGGCTCTTGATATCACACGATAACATGTAACCGTAGTGGTTCGGGTGTCACGTGATAACACACCTGAGCCAGCTCCATTCACTGAATGAAGACCTTGAAATGTAGGCGAGAGCTCTGAAAGCCAGTAAGTGGACCCCAAAGAATCAACGACCAAACTCAAAATGATTGATTTTGTTTAGCTTTGCACAAACAGTATATGAGTGTTCCCAGCATCTCAGTGGCTAGAGCAAGGCACTGATACTAACATGTGTCACATTCACTGTGTAGCACATTGGCTAAAGCAAGGCAGGGTTTCTGGTTCCATTCCTGGTTTGTAGGCCAGTGGAAGGAGCAAGGCACTAACAACATCTCTGAGGGTTCGGGGTTTATTTACCACATGGATGAGGCAAGGCACACAAAACTGACTGGAGCAAGGCATTAAGAGGTTAGGGGTTCAATGCCCAATGTAATACAATGTTTAGGGCAATGTCTGTTTCTGTATATGTAGGTCAATGGCCAAAGCAAGGCACTTACTTCCAAGGTTGGGGGTTCAATTCTCAGCGACTAAGGGGCAAGAGTAAGACACTAAGACTATCAAATTAATTTTGTATACCAATCCAGGGTTGCTGGTTCCATTCCCTCTTTGTAGGACAATGATGTACGGTACTAACATTGACATTGGAGGAAAGCATTAAGAGGTTAGGGGTTCCATTCCCAATGTAATACAATGGGAAGAGCAAAGGAGTCAGCTTCTCTTCATGCGGGTCAATGGGCAGAGCAAGGCACTAACACACTTCCACGGGTGGGTGCTCAATTCCCGGCGACTGCGCAACTAAAGCAAGACAATTACGACAACGTGGGTTCGAACTGAACAATGCTAGCTCTATTCCCGCAGGTCAAGACTAAAACTGTGAAGGTTGAGGGTTCAACTCCCGATTTAACTCAAGGAATGAAGCAAGGCACTAGACTGCAGGTGTAGGGGTTTGATTTCGTCCTTAGAGGTCAAAGGGAGGAGCCAGGCACTAACAAACCCTACAAGGGTTCAATTCCTCGGGTGATCGAGTGTGTAAAGCAAGGCACTATCACTGGAACGAGTTGTGGGTGGGATTCCCATTGTGTTCGCTCCTTAGTGCGGCTGTTTCCACAAAAGAGCAGATTAGAGGCAGCTGAGGGGAGTAATGAAGGTTTTGGTTTATAGAGAAAATCTATTGTGATGGAGACAATAAACCGGTTCTGCTAAATATCAGATCAAACCTGAGGCAAGCCCTTTTCACAGCCCGGAATCAGACTGTCAGCACATTTCTCCCAAAAAAGACGAAAAATCAATTCAGAAAATCTTAACTTCCCTCCATGAAAACCATCAAAAATCTGCCTCTAATCTGGATGTAAAGTATGATTCCTCTTCTGCGCTTAAATGGCGAGAAGAGCGACAAATTTAGGGAGGGGTCCGCTCTTTCATGTCTACAATAACCTCCAGGAGAAGCCGGCCGGCGAATTATAGAGGCTGCAAAATGTCCCATCATCCGGAAAGACACGAACGGATCCGTTAGGACACAATAAGAGGAAGTTTACAGGCAGGAAAAATGCGTTAGAGGCAAACATTGGAGCTGTTTTATGTCTTTTTTCTATCGGTTTTACCTCTGTTTGCATGTGTGCGTCCCTCTCCTCCTCGCATCCCTCCATCTGCGCGGATGATGAGCAGGGAAGCATTTTCAGGGGGAAAAAAAGAGTGATAAAATATTCCCACCTCTGTCTTTTTCTAACCGGAATCGGTTATTTAAATAGAAAATAAAGCCACACAGAGGTCTATTCTAGCAGCACATGTCTGGATCCGAGCCCATTCCTTTTCTCTCTCTCTTCCAAACACATGGGATGGAGAGGAGCTGGGTGCTGCTGCTGCCGGCGGACAGGATCCTCCTCCTCCTCCTCCTCCTCCTCCTTTCACTGACAGCATCATCTGGCTCCCCTGAACCCCTCCTCCCGCCTCTTCCTCCTTCCTCCTCTTCCTCCCGTCTCAGTGCTGCGGTGCTGTGAACCATTACCATGTGATGCTTGAAGCCAGACATCGTGAGCTCGTTTAGCTTCGTTTTGAAAGTATCTGTGCTTGCAAGTCTTCAGCTGAGCACTAATATTAATATAGTTATTATAATGATGACAGCGCTGTCAATTTTGTAAAGCCCTATTAGTGCAGTCGCGGGGTGCGTTCAAGTGCTGATGGGAGAATCCGAAATGCGGATAATCATTCAGCTGCGAGACCAGCGTTGCATTCAAGTTCAATTCTCTAGCCACTAAACATTAGGAATACTATTCCTTATTATTAAATTATATATATTAAATATTATTATTATTATAAAATATGATGAATTATAATCTTGTTTGTTTGTTTTATGTGCAAGAAAAATACTTTTTTTGTGTTTCTTAATAACAGCTGTGTTGTTCCCTAGACTAGCTACTAGTTTATGAGAGTAGACTTAGTGATACCGTTTACCTGTTACATTATTAGTGTTAACCATTATTAACCAGCCTGCTGTATAGTCTGATTCAAACCACAGAAGTTACATCAGCGTATATGACAGCTCACAGATTATGAGATTATGACTTTCCTGTAGTGAACTTTTTGTGCCAAACTTGGTAGAGAAGACATATCTCCCTATCTAAGTCCCAGCCGTATAATAATGTATAATTTGTCATTTCAAAATCAAAATCAAATCAATCATATGTCACAAAGCCAACATCATATCTGGTTTAGCCCCCAGTTTGATGCATTTATGTAGAATCAGATAGAACTCAGATCAGCTGCAAAGGAAAGGTCAGTCTTTGACACTGAGCTCTGTGGACGCATTTCTACAGAGAGAGAGAGACAGAGATGGGGGGGTATGTATGTGTATGTATTAAAAAGGCTTTACAAAAGCAACATCTAGAGGTGCTAACATGCAACTACAGGCTATCCTCAACCACTTTAAACTAAATGTGGTCCAGTGTGCTGTTTTATCTATAGTATCACACCAAATAGTCAGGACATAAACAATGATGTTGAATAAATTCATTCATTCATTCATTCATTAAGTTATCCTTTATTGATTGCTGTAGGGAAATTGAGCCATCCTAAGTACAGGACAGAGACAGAGACAAAGGTGCACAGCAACAACAATAGCAACAGCTTTACGAGTATAAATGGCTAATAATAATGATGATGATGATGACGATGGTGATAACAATGACGGCAATAGCCACAACGATGGGGAATAATAAATAATAATAATGACTAATCAATAAAGTATTTCTGATTCTGATTTCTGATTCTGAATAATAATAATATGAGTGCAGAAAGAGAGGGAGAGGAAGAGAGGAGCTCAGTGCATCATGGGAGGTCCCCCGATAGTCTAGGCCTATAGCAGCCTAACTAAGGGATGGTTAAGCCTACTCTTGAATGTGGTGAGGGTGTCTGCCTCCTGAACCACAACTGGAAGCTGGTTCCACAGGAGAGGAGCTTGGTAACTGAAGGCTCTGGCTCCTGTTCTACTTTTAGAGACTATAGGAACCACAAGTAGCCCAGCATTCAGAGAACGTAGTGTTCTAGAGGGGTAATAGGGTACTATGAGCTCTTTAAGATATGAAGGGGCCTGACCATGAAGAGCTTTATAGGTGAGGAGGAGGATTTTAAATTCTATTCTACATTTTACAGGGAGCCAGTGCAGAGAAGCTAGAACAGGAGAGATGTGATCTCTTTTTCTAGTTCCTGTCAGTACTCGTGCTGCAGCATTCTGAATTAATTGTAGCATCTCAATGGATTTATTGGGGCAACCTGATAATAAAGAGTTGCAGTAATCCAGTAACAAATGCATGAATTAGTTTTTTCTGCATCTGTCTGTGACAGGATGTGCCTGATTTTTGCAATGTTACTGAAGTGAAAGAAGCACTCCGGGAGGTTTGCTTTATGTTGGAATTAACTAAAGATAACTCCAAGATTCCTGACAGTGGTGCTAGGTTTTTGGGGCCAAGTACAGGACCTGCAATTTTCAAAGTTTAACTGAAGAAAATTGCAGCTCATCCAGGATTTTATGTCCTCTAGGTATGCTTGTAATTTAGCTAATTTATTAATTTATAACCAGTACTGTCTCTGTTCTGCGTTGAAATCCTGACTGAAAATCCTCAAATAAGCTGTTGCTATGTAGAAAGTCACACAACTGTTTGGCAACTACTTTCTCAAGAATCTTACAGAGAAAGGAGAGGTTAGAAATAAGTCTATAGCTGGCTCAAACCCCTTTGTCAAGAGTGGGCTTGAAAAAAAATAAAATGTATCATCAGTAAATAAGTGACAACTAAGGGTAAGACTTAGTTGGGATGGGGTTGGGATGGGGTCAAACAGACAGGTCGATGGCTTCGATAAATGAATTTTTTGATGAAGATTGATTGCAGAAAAGCAGTTTAAATATATATCTGGGTTTGAAGCTGTGAAGATTTCTGTGTTTGAAGAGACACTGATATTCTCATCATCTATTTTGTTGTTACTTCCTGTGAGTAATTGATGATTAAATGTACCCATAAATTATAAAATGTCCTTTCGAAGCAGATGTAATTCTATTTTGGCCAAGAAACCTTAGTTGAATTGTACAGCATTGAGTTTGTCACTGAATTGTGTTATGAATAAAGTTGGTTTAAAAAAAAACAAAAAAACCTAGTGTGACTCAGATTCGCAGAGCTGCTCCTCTTCCTGGAATGAAATACAGCTTGAAAACCCCTCCTTCTTCTTCCTGCTCTCAAACACACTAAACTCTTCTCTTTTCCCTGCAGATCTACATGTTGTTGAGGAGAAATGGCGCAGAAAGGAGTTCAGCTGGACCGGGAGACCATCTCTTGTTCGATCTGTCTGAATCTACTGAAGGATCCGGTGACTACTCCCTGTGGACACAGCTACTGCATGAACTGTATTAAAAGCTACTGGGGGGAAGAGGATGAGAAGAAAATCCACAGCTGCCCTGAGTGTATGCAGATCTTCACACCGAGGCCTGTCCTGGTAAAAAATACAATGTTAGCAGTTTTAGTGGAGGAGCTGAAGAAGACTGGACTCCAATCTGCTCCTGCTGATCACTGCTATGCTGGACCTGAAGATGTGGCCTGTGATGTCTGCACTGGGAGAAAACTGAAAGCCCTCAAGTCCTGTCTGTTCTGTGTGGCCTCTTACTGTGAGACACACCTGCAGCCTCACTTTGAATCACCTGCCTTTAAGAAACACAAGCTGGTGGACCCCTCCAAGAAGCTCCAGGAGAACATCTGCTCTCGTCACGATGAGGTGATGAAGATCTTCTGCCGTACTGATCAGCAGGCCATCTGTATTTTGTGCTCCATGGATGAACATAAAGGCCACGACACAGTCTCAGCTGCAGCAGAAAGGACTGAGAGGCAGAGAGAGCTCGAGGTGAGTCGACAAAACATCCAGCAGAGAATCCAGGACAGAGAGAAAGATGTGAAGGAGCTTCAACAGCAGGTGGAGGCTATCAATCGCTCTGCTGATAAAGCAGTGGAGGACAGTGAGAAGATCTTCACTCAGCTGATTCGTCTCATGGAGAAAAGAAGCTCTGATGTGAAGCAGCAGGTCAGATCCCAGCAGGAAACTGACGTGAGTCGAGTCAAAGAGCTTCAGGAGAAGTTGGAGCAGGAGATCACTGAGCTGAAGAGGAAAGACGCTGAGATGAAGAAGCTGTCACACACAGAGGACCACACCCAGTTTCTATACAACTACCCCTCACTGTCAGCACTCAGTGAATCTACATCCAGCATCAATATCCGTCCTCTGAGGTACTTTGAGGATGTGATAGCGGCTGTGTCAGAGCTCAGAGATAAACTACAGGACGTTCTGAGGGAGAAATGGACAAACGTCTCACTGACAGTGACTGAAGTGGATGTTTTACTGCCACAACCAGAGCCCAAGACCAGGGCTGAGTTCTTACAATATTCACGTGAAATCACAATGGATCCAAACACAGCCCACACATGGCTGTTATTATCTGAGGGGAACAGAAAAGCAACAAGAACAATGGAAAACCAGACTTATTCTAGTCACCCAGACAGATTCACTGGATGTGGGCAGGTCCTGAGTAGAGAGAGTCTGACTGGACATTGTTACTGGGAGGTGGAGTGGAGAGGTTCTGGAGTTTATGTAGCAGTCGCATACAAAAACATCAGCAGAGCAGGGAACGGGAATGAATTTGAATTTGGATTCAATGACAAATCTTGGGCATTAAGATGTGACAAAAACAATTATAGCTTTTGGTTCAACAACATCAAAACTCCTGTCTCAGGTCCTCAGTCCTCCAGAGTTGGAGTGTACCTGGATCACAGTGCAGGTATTCTGTCCTTCTATAGCATCTCTGAAACCATGACTCTCCTCCACAGAGTCCAGACCACATTCACTCAGCCTCTCTATGCTGGACTTTGGCTTTCTTGTTATGGATTCACTGCTGAGCTCTGTAAACTCAAATAGACAGAAGTCATTTAAGGGACAGTGGGTTATATTCTGCCTTTTAGTTGTTAAATCCTATTTTGTCTTGATGTTTGTTGCTGAGAGCTGATTGTTGTGGCGTTTCTTCACTGCACAGAAATCACCTGTCAATCAAACATTGTGGGCGGTACTTTGACGTCTTCTCATTAGTTGTTCTGTAAATGTTTGAATCTCTTTAGGTGGTGCTCCTTCCTGTGTTTGTTCAGCCATAGAGGTCATCACTCTTCATGATGGCTTTTGTTCAGCTGAACTGACATTTTTCAGCTCTCTAAATATATTCAATTTCAATTCAATTAAATTTTATTTGTATAGCGCCAATTCATAACAGAAGTTGTCTCAGGACACTTCTCAAATAGAGCAGGTCTAGACCGAACTCTTTAAAACATTAATTACAGAGACCCAACAGTACCACCATGAGCAAGACCTTGGAGACAAGGGCAAGGAAAAACTGCCTGTTAAAAGGCAGAAACCTAGGACAGATCCTTCGGCTCTAGGTGGGTGGTCGTCTGTCTCGACCAGTTGGGGTGAGAGAGAGAGAGAGAGAGAGAGAGAGAAGAGAGAGAGAGAGAGAGAGAGAGAGAGAGAGAGAGAGAGAGACAGACAGACAGGTGCACAGCAACAACAGTATTGGCAATGGCAATCTAGCAGGACCATGGCAGGAGGCTCGACCAGGATCGATAAGAACCTGCGAGACGAGAAAGCACAAGAACTCCGGGGAAGAAGTGAAGTTAGTAACATGCATTAATGGAACATGAATGAGTGCATAAAGAGAGAGGAAGAGAGGAGCTCAGTGCACCATGGGAAATCCCCCGACAGTCTAGGCCTATAGCAGCATAACTAAGGGATGGTTCAGGACTCACCTGATCCAGCCCTAACTATAAGCTTTATCAAAGAGGAATGTCTTAAGCCTACTCTTGAATGTGGTGAGGGTGTCTGCCTCTCGAACCACAACTGGAAGCTGGTTCCACAGGAGAGGAGCTTGGTAGGAAAGGACGCTTTTTAAAAGCTTAACCTGAGAAAAACACTAAAATTTAAAGGCGCACTGTCACCTCAGGGTCAAACGTCTCCCTTGTCTGCAGGCTAGAATGACAACCGACTACAGAATGGCAAGATCTTTCCATCGGTGCATTTCTCTTTTCATTAGCGTCACAACTGACACAGATCAGACCTTTGCATATTCATATATATTATTTACGGATGCACCAATACCACTTGTTTCCAACCAAGTACAAGTACTTACATTTGGGTTCTTGCCAATGCAGAGTACCGATTACTTAATAATACCATTGCAGTTCTAACAGTGACTTAAAAAACATGTTTTTATTCTCATCATGTATTCCTCACATTGACTGCTACAGTTGCTTTAAATTGTTTCTCCTCAGCCTACCTGTGCAGCTAACGAGAGGTTATCGGAGTAGTTTTATGACGACAAGTACAAGTACAGCTCAGTATCAAACCCGTTCCTGATACTGCATCAGTGCATCCTTAATATTTTTATTTTAAACACATGTATTTATAGTCTTATAGTATAGAAAACAGTGGTCAGGCTATGACATCATACTGAGACAAATTAAAAACCAGTGACTTTGTTTAGTCTTTGTCACACTATGCAAATGTGATGATACTTTGCACTTGCAGTTCATTGCAGGCTTTAGATTCCTCTGCCGGGGTGGTCCAGTGAGGTTCATCCAGACCCTCATCGGTCTCGGTCCAACCCCGGAAAGTTGGGGACGGTAATGCAGGTGACGGCAGTAGTGCCAGTCCCGAAACTCAGCTGTGAAAAAGGTCTATACACAGAACTGAGAGTGGTTGCTAAGAAGCGAGTGAGGAATAATAATAATCCATGAATCATTATTAACTCAGAATGAGGAGTATTTAGTAGATAATGGGGATTTACTAGATATGGAGGACTGAAAGTGCCACAATTAAATAAATAAATACACCATTAAATAATTACTTAAATGTGTCATTAATTAATTAAAATACTGATTCATGTAATGTAAAATACATATATAATTATTTCACTATTTACATTTACATTTCATGGTCCTGCATTGCAGTGCTTCATGAATTACTTAAAACTGTCAAACTCACCCATCAAAAGTTGGTAGGCGGATCCTAACGCCTGATTGGTTACCCTGCGCATCAAGCCAAGACAAATCAATTCCAGATAATGGATCGATGCAGAGCTAGTGAACACATTCCAATACACTGGGTGGCGCTATTGGACTACTTCTTCTAAATCTGCAGTCACTCTGTGGTCAATATCTCGGTCAGAAAGTGCGGAAATAACTCCAAGAACTTCAATAAGTTCCTCTGCTTTACTCGCTACATGCTCTGGGTCAGCAGCTCCTGCTTCCACATCCTCTGCTAAGTCTACAAAATAAAATAAAGTGTTTAACTTTTAAAAATAAAGTGTAGCAGCAGCTTGAGTTTCCCTTTTTCTTTGTTAACTGTTTTATATCTTGATTAACAGTCTCAACAAATTTTATAAATGAATATCAACACATCTTTACAATTGAACAGTTTCTCTTTCTTTCCCTTTTATATCTTTCTATACACTTTCTGTTGTTCAGTGAGAGAATTGAGCTCTAACCTCTCTCCCTCGTTGGGCAGTGAATGAATGGGTCAGGATCAGTGTTGGTCATCTTACTTTAAAAAAGTAATTAGTTATAGTTACAAATTACTTATCCCAAAAAGTAACTGAGTTAGTAACTCAGTTACCACATTGTAAAAGTAATTAGTTACTCAGCAAAGTAACTAACGTTATTTTTATGGTCTATAATTACATTCTATAACATCTTCTATAACGTTAAAGATGTTTATAATCACTGAATAAAGAATAAAACACTATATACAGTATTTTAGAACATTTGGTATTTATTTGAACTCAATAGATTGCAGCCGGCCATATGCATAGAAATAAAAATATATACAAAATAAATATTGAAAATAAAATTCACACATGTTACATAAACATTCTTGCCTTTAACTTCAGTAAGCGAGTAGTAGTGTCGGTACTTCCAGTTTGATATCGCTACCCTTGAATTTCCCTAGCTCGTCGCCATTGTCTCTGTCTTGGCATCGCCGTTAGTAAACGCCGTTAGTAACGTCGTTATACTTAAACGCCGTTATACTTAAACGCCGTTACTCCCAACACTGGTCAGGATACTGGTTGAGTGATCATATTGGGATCTGAGACTGCTTATTTTCTGTGACCTTGTTCAGACTTGAGTGGGTATGTTTGATGAACTTTGTGTTTTGTCTCATAGTGGCGTTTCACACTGGCACTTTTAATCAGCGCCGCGGTCTCTGAACATGAGACACACTGGTTATGTGCTCCCAGTGGGAAGAATGAATGTGAATGAATCTGTCCATTAAAAGCTCCATTTTCTATCCACTTTTCTCTTCTTAGAGAGCGCCATAAATCTTCTGTTGTCTCTCGCTCACTCATCTCTCCGTTTCCTCTCCATGTATCTGTGACTTCTCTTTCTGTCTGTCTCTCCTCTCTCATCGCTCTCATCTCTGTATTCAGTCGCACTGTTTAAACAGATTTGATTGGCTGAGCAGCATCACGTGGGATGGCTTAACTAGCATGCGATTGGTCTGTGAGCTTCCTGATCTGCTAAACAAATACCGTAAAGACTAGAAAAGCTGTGCTGGTTAAAATAGAAGCTCCCCATCAAAATTTAGAATCCTCAATAATTAATTGATTATAGGTCTGGGTCCGCATAGGACGGTGTCTGGGTCCAGACTCGCCTGTTAGCGACCTCTGCCCTAGAAAGTTCATGAAGATCTTCCTGGCACTCTACTTCAGACCAAAGCAATGGATCAGGCTAGATTCGCGTTGGCCCCACCCACTGAGTTTGATGGGTGAGTTTGACAGTTTTAAGTAATTCATGAAGCACTGCAACACAGGACCATGAAATGTAAATGTAAATAGGGAAATAATTATATATGTATTTTACATTAAATGAATCGGTATTTGAATTAATTAATGACACATTTAAGTAATTATTTAATGGTGTATTTATTTATTTAATTGTGGCACTTTCAGTCCTCCATAACTAGACAGCTGACTGGGAAATACTGTATTAATGAATGATCAGATTACTTTGTACACTCTCTGTGAATCAACTGTAACTCTGTAATTCGTTTTTTTCTGACAACTTGCAAACGTATTACTACGTTAAGTTAGTTGTTACCTGAAAGCAGGTTTTAACTTAACAGGTAAACCTTTGTGGTAGTGTTGAGTAAATGATTCAGAAGCTCCAATCATTCTATAGTTGGGTTTCTGTATGTATGTGGGAGCCAATAAGAAGGGGTCTGAGCTCCTGTGAAAGCAGTAAAATCATAAATCTATGGAGGCCGCTCAAATATTACAAACAATGTTTTTAAATTTTTAACTATTCTAATCACAAATAATGCATTTTTCAGTTGAATTACTATTATTTCATTTGTATTGACCGCTTGCTTTCTATTGGATTTACGACCTGCAAAAACCAATGCATCCTCCCACCAGTGGAGCACTACATAGAGTACTGTGCGTTCTCGCTTTGAGTGATGGCAGTTAGCATATTTCAGGCTGGTTGCAATGTATGTCCGAGACTCCCACAAAGCTCAGATTATAACTCGAACCCTGTCTATAGTACTTCTGTTACTGGAATAAAACTCCCACATACACGTACTAGTGTTACTGCAGCTACTGCAATAACAGCAATGTTAGAGTCTCTAGAGTGTCCGACCCTACGGTTACTTGGCTGCACTGTGGTCTGAGGAGGAAGAAATGAAAACGTATGATACTAGTTACAGACAGGAAACACTCGAAGGCAGATCTCTACTGAAGATCGTATCACAGTGTAGTCTGTCACATAATGACACTTTTAATTCTGTTTCCTCTTTATTGAAAATGTGTTTTTGCACTTGTTTTACGTCACATTGCTGTAAAAATGTCCTGTGAAGAATTCATTTTCAAAAACATGGCTTGTGTCTGCCTGTCTCCTCTCTCACCCTGATCAATGCTTTTATCATATCCACAACTGACCACTGCGATGACATTTGTTTCATCCAAAGTCCTGAATAACTCAATCCAATTATACCCAGAATTATGCTGCTCGCCTTCTCCTTAACTACCCCCTACCCCTCGAGACTGTCCACGTTCAAATCACTAATCACAACCCATCTTTTCAGAAGTCATTGACTGTTGTGTGTTGTATATTAGCTAACAATGAATGTAGATGATCTAGCTAACTAGCTAGCTAATGATTACTATAGATTAGTTAGCTAGCATTTTGCTGACATTAGTTAAGATGTGACTGTATATACTGTTCGTTGTTCCAACTTTGGTTGACTTTTCAACATGGACATGACATGAAATACTAAAAAAAACTAAATCAAGTGTAATAATTTTTTACTTATTTTTATTCTATTGATACAGTAAATATCTCTTAGTGTCTAACTTTATTATGTTATGTTTTATACAAACTAACTGACCTAACTGACTTCTTGTAGTCGTAGCAGTAAATGACACAAGTGGTGAGTTTTCTTGTTTTAATATTAAATCATATAATTGTATCCATCATAGGATCACAGTCACATTCACAGAAGGTTCACAGTTTCTCTGACCAATCCTGTTGCTGGTTGGAGCTGTGGCTCCGCCTTCTGCATCACCTGCTGAGAAAAAGATCAAAAGTGTCAGTAAATATATGATCTATCTATCGATCTATAAGGGTAGGGTTAAGGGAGGGTCCTCACAAGTATAGATAGACAAATGTGTGGTGTGTGCAGAACTGTGACCTGCTGCTTCAGCAGACGTGGTCCTGCCAGTCCGATACCCAGAGCTCCGATAGGCGCTGTGGTCAGGATGGCTAACACAGCTAACGTTAGCACATCCAAACCGAACTTAATTGAGGTCTCATCCCCCTCCTCCCTCGCCATGTCCAACGCCTTGGAGCCAATAGCAGCCTGACACAAGATAAACAGATAAACACATGTTGGACAAACAACTGAAAGCCTATGAGCATGGAGATTCATGTAGTCTCTGAGGAGGTTCTGCAGATCCTTTATACGGTTCTAGAGGTAACTTAATAAATGGGAAGCGGTGCTAGTGGTCCCTAGGTGGCTCTAGGTGTCCTTTGGGTGGTTCTAGGTATCTTTTATACGGTTCTAGGGGTCTAATAATGGGGGTGTAATGTTAAAAGGAGTACGGTCTAGACCTGCTCTATTTAAAAAGTGTCCTGAGATAACTTCTGTTATGAATTGCCGCTATACAAATAAAATGGAATTTAAACAATTTAATTAATAGGAGGTTTTAGGGTTCACTTAAGTGGATTTTAAGGTCACAGATCAGGTTTTAGAGGTTCCAGCAGTCCATAAGGAGGTTCTACAGGTCCATTGGGTTAGTTTCGACATTACATTTACATCAATTAAAGGCTCCTAGAAATCAAAGAGGTTTTAGGAGTAATTTAATTGGTTCTTCTTCTGGTCCCTGATGAGGTTTTAGGGGCCTTTGAAAAGGTTCTAGAGGTCCTTTGGGTTGTAAGTCATCCTTTAAAGGCTTCTTGTGGTCACAGAGGAGGTTTTAGGGGTCATTCAGGTGGTTCTTGTTAGTGATGAGGTTCTTTATCGCTGTGGTACACACACACACACACACACACACACACACACACACACACACACACCTGTATGGTGGCTTTAGGCAGCCAGGCCACAGAGATGAAGAATTTCTCCTTCAGATTGAATCCTCCGAAATGAACCAGCTGGAATGTGACAAGCAGGCGGATCACCAGACCGATGCTGATACAAGCCATACCCAAACCTGAACACAGAGAGCCAACAAAGAGAATGTAAAATATGTGTTTGGTTAAGGTTATGGTTCTTGGTTGTTTTGGTGCTTACCCACTGTACTGGGGCTGAGGGTTGCTATGGTGATCTCTGCTCCAATCAGACCAAAGAGCAGCGGCTGGAACACATCCCACGACCGGCCCACCATGGCTGCCACCGGGGCCTGGACATACAGATGAACATTAAACTGTACCAGTCCAGAATCAGTTGTGTGAACAGGGGTCTAATCCAGATTAAAGTTGTTACCTTGTCAGCCCTCCAGCCTAGAGCAGCCAGAAAGGCCAGCACCAGCGTACAGAGACCACCTGCTCCGGCAAAACCAATAACATGACTGAAGAAGATAGAAAATATGGACAGACCCAACAACATGAGAGTCCTCCTTAGGACAAGGTCCTCCTGCAGGGAGACAGAATAAGTTAATTCAATCACATTTAAAGTTTATAAGAACACAAAATCCAACCACAGTCTCACCTGGTCTTTGCTGGGGAAGCATTGCAAGAACAGACCCAGGATCAGCCCGGCTATGACCCCTCCCACCACCCCCAGCAGACCCTTTAGTATGTTCATCCACGTAGAACCTGCAGGGCAAACACAGCATGAAAGAACAGAACAAAGTGGAACCGAAAGAAACAGAATAAAATAACACAGACCTGTAGAGAATGCCATTCCCAGACAGGTAGAGAACCCGGTTATGGCCAGAACACCCTCAAAACTCCCAGCAGCCATCAGCAGGGTGGGGATCCCCTGAACAACACAGACCAGTAGTAGAACTTTAATAGAACATCACAGAATTACATTAATTAAGTTATTAGAGTCTAGTGGTAACTGAAGAGGTTCTACATTTCCTTTAAGAGGTTCTGGTCGGCCTTCATGACATCAATGACAAGGAACACTGAATCTGTTCTTGATGCTTGCGGTGGAACGACATCCTTCAAACACATATTATTCATTATTCATCATTTACAAAGAAGGTTCTAAAAGACCTTTATGTAGTTCTAGTGGTCATTGAGGGGGTTCTAATGGTCACTAAGCATAGTTCAAAGCTATTAATTTAAAGGCTTTGGGAAGTCTTTGTCGTCATTTGAGGTTCTGAGGGTCTTTTAGGAGATTCTTGTTGTCATTAAGGGGATTCTAGCAGTTCTTTAGGTGTATATATTTATAGTTACTAAGGAAGTGTTCTTTCAGGAAGTTCTTAGGGTGGTTCTAGTAGTCATTAAGAAGGTTTTAAGGGTTCTATAGGAGGTTTTGGATGGTTATAGAGGCTCTTTAGAAGGTCTTTATGATCACTGAAACGGTTTAATGGCTTTAGGAGGTTCTTGTCATCACTGAAAGGGGTCGGGCGCTCAAGTTTTACTGGTCATCAAAGAGGTTCTTGTGGCCAGTGAGAAGGTTCTGTGAGTCTTACAGGTGGTTCTGGTGTTTCTTGATCACAGTAATGTTTGAAGCTGATGGTTTACCTTCTCCACTCCGTATCCTTCTCTCTGCAGGAGCAACATGGAGGGAACAACAACTGCCGGAGACACTGCAGCCAGGACAAAACTACACACACACACACACACACACACACACACAGACACAGTCACTGTATTGATTTTCAGTACAGTCTCACAGATACAGAAAGCTGTTTTTTCCATGTATCTATTCATGATGAAGTGTGTGTGTGTTACCCCAGTACGAAGCACCAGACCCACGGCAGACCCAGCAGGAAGTGAGAAACCACAGCAACGATGCAGGCCTCCACCACACAGGGGCCGATTGCGAGACGCACACACACCGCCTTCAGACGCCTCAGCGCCTGCACACACACATTTCATTATGAGGTACGTGCAGTTTATTTAACTCTGTGTGTGTGTGTGTGTGTGTGTGTGTGTGTGTGTGTGGGCACACTCACCGATGGGTTGAGACCCAGTCCGGCTCTGGTCAGGATGATTGCGAGGGCGATTTTCCTCAGAGCTGCAGACCAGTGAGTGTCGATGTAGATGGCGTCCGTTATGTAGGGAATATTACGCAGCAGCAGGCCAGCCAGCAGCATACCTACAGGATGTTCAGACATTTAAAACGGCACTCAGTCGTGATCAAGTTTTATAATAGTTAGAGTTAGGGGTCAGGATGGGTCGCACCAATCAGTGGAGGGAAGCGGGGCAGCGTGGGCAGTTGGATCATTCCCACCAGCTGCCCTCCCACCACGGCGCAAATGAAGAGGATGACGATGCCAAATAGGTTCCCTCCAGGTAAACACTGACTTCCTGTGATGGACCAAACGACTCCGAACAGCAGTGCGAACAGACACACTGCACACACACACACACACACACACACACACACACACACACACAGGTTAATACACACAGTCTCTACAGCGTTCACCTGTTGGAGCTGACAAACGGCAGCCATTTTATGTTTGACGTTTTGCTGATGATGTTTTTATGTTAGTAGTTCAACTGATGGACCGTGTGTGTATTAATGTATTAACACACACACAGACACACACACACACACACACACACACTCAGGTACCTTTAGTGATGACCAAGTTGAAGAGTCCATGAGGTTGAGGACATCTGTCCTTCAGGCTGATACAAGACGAACAGCAGGAGGACGAGTCGGACGCTGCCATCTTCATCCAAACACACACACACACACACACACACACACATACAAGCACACACACAGTATGTATATTTATATATGTACACGTACAGAGAGAGTTCTTCCCCTCTATTCAAATATACAGTAATATGCCATAAAATGTGATTAGTGGGTTAGCTGGCTAACTCCAGACCTTATGAAACTTTAATCAATGCAGATGCAGATCATCATGCTGTTCAGACCAGGATGAGACCAGGATCAGAGCAGGATGAGACCAGGATCAGAGCAGGATGAGACCAGGATCAGAGCACTTTACTGGATCAATGATCCTCCTGTGTACTGTCTCAGTTTGTGGCCCTTAGCTCCAGTGAGAGGAAGTCTTATTGCAGCAGCACACAGAGATACTTCCTGTTTCAGCATTAGAGGAAGATCTGCCACACTCCTACTGACTCATAACTCACTCAAATGTAAACAGCCCGCGCACACACACACACACACACACACACACACACACACACACACACACGATGCACACTGCAGATACTCGTCCATAAATCACAGTAAAACTGGTTGCAGAACCTGCCTGAGAAATATCATGTTTTTAACTTTTCTGCAGTATCACAGTGATCCAGTGACAGTTGTCTGTACATCTGTGAGTTCACTGCAAACAGGAGCTGCTGACACATAATTCAGCTACTTTTAAATTCGACAAAATGTAAACAAATTCAGAGAAACACGGCAGCACCATACAGCCGGGTGGTAAACGTGGTGGAGACCAGAGGAGCTGTTAAAGCAGCAGATTATCAGCTGTCCACATACTTGTTTTTGCTATGTTTCTTACCTATTATTAATATTTTTAGCGCCTTTGACTGCGTTTTTGCCCTCCTGAACATATACGAAAACTCAATTTTATTTGGCAAAGTGGTCAGGCCTGGTGAAAATCTTTATATTCTAGGCGTCACTTTCAGGTAGGCCACTAGGTGGCACTACTATCATAAAAAGTGCGTTTAGGTTAATAACTTCTGCATAGTTTGTCGCTCATTCAAAATCCTTAAATCCACGCGTTCAGTGAATAGAGCTGAATCTTCCCATATAGACCACGCCCACTTCCGGCTATAATTTTTTTTCGTTAGAGCGCGAAATGTCCTTAAACTACTTTTTAGTGTTCCTCCTACACGCCGGGACTGTCCTAATAAAAATTGATTCAAAGAATCTTAATATTTCAAAAAGTAAGCACGTTATTAAATTAGCACTTTCTGTAAATTTTTCATCAAAAAAGGAAGTGGACCATTTCTCCACATTAATATGTCGGATTGACACCAAGCTTGGGTCCATAGTTCCCCATGTCTTCGTTAGGCATCGTGCACAATTTCAGTCCATCGCCACAAGGTGGTGCTCTCTAAAATGAAGAAGTTTATATCTCTGCAACGGCACGTGTGATTAAAATTAAACTTGGTATGATGCTTGCCCATGGCTCCCTGAGGCTTGCCAAAAAATGTGTCAACAATCCACCACTAGGTGGCGCTCTGGTGGCATGGTAAATCACTGTGCGGAGACCGTAATAGTTATGACTATGAAATTCATAGAGCACGTGTAGAGTGGTGCCTGAAGCTCACATACCAAAAATCGTACCCATACCCTAAACCCCACAGGAAATCGGCCATTTTCATTTTCATTTTCACTTTTGGCAAACTTTTCGCGTTGTATTTGAACGAACTCCTCCTAGGGAATTTATCGGATGTACTTAAAAATTGGTCAGTACAGTCGAAAAATGGTGCTGATTAAAAGTTGTGCTATTTGAGACTGTACGTCAAACTGCGTGCCACTGACAACTTGTCGAATTCAGCCAATTCACCATAAAACACTGCTTCTAACTTCAGTGTGCAATGTCCAATCTCCAATAAACTTCATATATTCTGAAACAGTCTCGCCCTGAACACGTCCTCATAACTTCAGCGTACGTCGTCCAATCTCAATGAAACTTTTGTTTGATAACACTCCCGCCCTGAACATGTCTACATGACAATATTCAGACATAGTGATAGCGCCACCTACTGGCAACAGGAAGTAAGTGCTGCGTGGTGATTTTGAGCTGATTTATGTGACATCTTCATGTCGTGGTCCGCATGTGTTACGACTGCATGTGACGCGGCCACAGCACATCCCCGAGTTGCTTGGAGTGTGAGGTCCTGCCCAACGCTGCTTGCAGCTTTAATTAATGTCTGTGATTGGTTGTTTCTTACAAACTGGATTAACACACATGATGGTGTGACCATACCGACCCTCGTTTCTATTAATAGCTGACCTTTGTGTGTGTGTATGTGTGTGTGTGTGTGTGTGTGTGTGTGTGTGTGTTGACAAACACTCACCCCAGCGGGGTCGTCCAGTTCGACCGTCTTCCTCCGCTGCAGGACGGTGATCTCTCTCTCCTCCTGACTGACCTGAACTTTACTCCCTCGCTTCACCACAGACAGGTGTGTGTGTGTGTGAAAGAGAGAGAGACAGAGAGAGACAGAGAGAGAGAGAGAGACACAGAGAAAGTGTTTAAAATAGTCATTAAAAAAGAGACATGAGTGTGTTAAAAGAGAGAGAGAGAGAGAGACATAGACAGTGAGGACCAATTTCAGTTCTGGACCATTGTAGTCAGTGTGTAAACTATACCACAGCTCACTTTTTCAACTTTTGAGAGTGGTGGGGGGGTCAGCAGTCGGTCAGCTGACTATAAAACAGAGACATTGATAATGGTGATTCACAGACTGGATGGGACTCGGAACATTTATTCAATATATATTATATTCTTTATTAAAGTGAATTACGCACAAATCATATATCAGTAGTAGCTTAAGTTTACTCCTAATCCATGATAATGAAGAAAAATAGAAATGCATGGCAAAAACAGCATATTGTACGTATTTAAGAGACCCCAAAATGTAACAAATCATGTTTCAGCTCATGTCTTATTAAGAGGAGCCGAGCTGCCCCTGTAGTTCACACCCAGATCGTAGTGAGGGCGTCACTGCAGAGTACAGTAACAGCACTGACCATTTATTACGTTTTGATTTATAAAGCGATACTTGGTAAACCTCCAGCAGATCTCTGTAACCTGCTCTGTCTCTTGTAGTTTGTCTTTTCTTTCTAATACATCCGGTTCTGACAGATGTTCTCACTGTGCATCATGGGTATGGAGTAATGTGCAAGAATTAATTGATTATTGACAACCTAACACTGATCTTGGATGTAGTAGGACTATATAAAGTTACTAAGTAATGTGTTACAGACTGGACAACATGTCCCCATAAACCACAATGTCCTCACTTGCCAAGTGTAAAGTCAAATTCAGTCACACACACAGCCAGATTACATTATATAGATACATACTTTATGATAATCTTAATTGTTAAAGTTAAATTAGGTAAGATTTCTAATATCACACACACACAATGACTGCGCATTCCTTGTTTTTTCCCACCCTCCTTCGTTTGTCCTTCTTTTTTTCCCAGTCATCATTCTCTCTCTCGCCGTCTCCCTCTGTCATTAATAAACAAGATTTATTGTTGCATCAGTAATCATTAAACCAGCAGATACACTCACACACCTCTTACACACACTCACATGATGGAAAATTTTCTCAGCCGTTGTTGAACTTTACTTGATCTTAAATAAACTCTCAACCTTCTGACCTTTCCTCTAGCGCCACCCTCAGGACAAACGTATTACTCCACCAGTGGACAGACCTGAAGATAAATCATCAGAAACTTTATGAGCAGCTTCAGTTTGTCAAAATCTTTCAGTTCAGACTGCAGACACTCAGTCTGCTGAGTCAGCGTTTCCTAACTCTGCTTTAACCTTCAGTGTGTGTTTGTGTGTGTGTGTGTGTGTGTGTGTGTGTGTGAGTCTGTGTGTGTGAGCAGATATAGGTTATGATTCACTAATCATCCTGTAAAACATCAGAAGACACGTACAACCAGCCAATCAGAGCAGCAGTTCGGATTACTTCACCAGTTAGTGCCGCCAGACCTCCTCCAGCCCGATTTTGCTATAAATATAATAAATAAATAATAATTTCCTCAACATTAAATGAGCAGAATGAAACCTTAAATATTATCTGAACCCACAAAACCAAGTTTTTCACCTGAAAGCGTGTATATGGGTATTTAGTGGTAGGACATTTTAGAGCAGAGTATTTACAGATTGTGCAATAAAAATGCATAAATAGCGCCCTCTACTGGCTGAAACCCGAGCATTGCAATTTACCCTTTCTAAGCCCCGCCCCTTCTTTGCTCCAATAACAGTTGAGCTTTCTCCTTTTCTCCACTTGAATATGCTGCATGCTAGGCTAATCTATGTTGAGAAGATAACCACAGTTTGAAGATGATTAAAAGATAAGAGACAAATATATATATACATCTTAAATTAGCTAACTGTAGACATAATGCTTCAATAGTTAGTAAGCTATTTAGATCTGAAAGCTCATGTGAGCACAATACTAGCTAACCAGCTAGTTAAAATCCATCAGGTGGTGGATGGGGCTACACATCTGGATCACAGGTTTCATTAAGAGACGTGAAGACAAACAGTTGGTACCTCAGCTTGTTTCTGTCCATCGTCACTCGTCCGCAAGTAGCGCTTGGTAGATTCTTCGTCCATCATCTGAAACAAACACGCAAATTTGTACTATACTTGTGAGGACGCTGATTTACAAACTTAAACTGAATCTAATTCTGCGCACACAAACACGCTGTGTCTTTTGTATTTAATTAGGAAACCAATACAAGATATTGTAGTTTAGATAGCAGCTACCAGCTAGCCCAGTGACAGTACACTGCTCTCCAGAAGGCCCAACGTCAGCTTCGCATTTCACAAAACCTTCAGCTCTGACAAAACTAGGTAGCATTACCTCTGGCTAACGCTTAACAAGCTACAAGATCAAATGTACAATAATAATGTGCAAAAAGTGCAAAAAATGATTGTCTATGTTTGAGTCCGATTACTGAGAGGGGGTGTCTGACTCTCTGAGGGAGGCATTGTAGAGTTTAATGACCACAAGCAGGAATGATTTCCTGTGGCGCTCTGTGGTGAGAGGAGTCCTCTGCTGGGCCAGTGTGTCGTAGAGAGGCTGAGAGACATTGTCCAAGATGGACTGAAGCCTGGACAGCATCCTCCTTTCTGCCACGGTCGTCAGGGTGTCCAGCTCTTCCCCCACGACATCACCGGCCCTCCTGATCAGTTTGTTTAGTCTGTTATTATCTGCTACCTTCAGCCTGTAGCTCACATACCAAAAATCGTGTTTGACGTGTTTGTAGCGCCCCCTACAGGATTTTAAAAAAAACAGCCCGGCGCCACGTTTCACCAATATGTATGAAACTTGGTAGGCACGTGTTATGTCCTGAGACCTACAGAAAAGCCTCTTGGACCCATACCCCAAACCCTCATGGGAAGTCGGCAATTTTCATTTTCATTTTCACTTTCGGCAAACTTTTCGCGTTGTATTTGAACGAACTCCTCCTAGGGAATTTATCAGATGTACTTAAAAATTGGTCAGTACAGACAAAAATGGTGCTGATTAAAAGTGGTGCTATTTAAGACTGTACGTTGAAGGGCGTATCTGTTGCGTGCCGTCAAAGTGGGCCATTTTGAATTCTGTGGTCATACAAACCAGATGAAAAGTTGAGCTATTTGTGACTGTACGTCAAACTGCGTGCCACTGACAACTTGTCGAATTCAGCCGATTCGCCATAAAACACTGCTTATAACTTCAGTGTGCAATGTCCAATCTCTACGGAGCCCCTAAAGGGACATGGGAAAAAAAAAAAAAAAAAACGTTTCTAGTGCGCACTAGATACTATCCATATTGTGGTGAATCAACACATGGCTAATTTTAATATTCAAATGAGTATTAAACTAATTTGTCTGTAAGTAAAAAATAAATGTAAATTAATCTGTAACATTTTTTGTTACAGTCCGCATTTAAATGCCTGTCCTCCTTTTGAGAAAATAACAAAAACAGTCCACCTTTTGACACATTATCTTGTTAGTTTAATACGTATTGGCTTAAAATGTGTGTCAAAATAAGTAATTTCATTGGTTACATTTTCGTGTTGTGACCTATTAACACATGGCTAATTTTAATATTTAAATGAGCCACGTGCTGATTCGCCACAACACTCGATCCATATCTAGTGCGCACTAGATACGGATCTAGTGAGCACAAGATACTATCTAGTGAGCACAAGATACTATCTAGTGCTCACTAGAAACGTTTCATTTTTTTTTTTTTTCATGTCCCTTTAGGGGCTCCGTAAATCTCCCATAAACTTCATATATTCTCTAACAGTCTCGCTCTGAACACGTCCTCATAACTTCAGCGTACGTCGTCCAATCTCAATGAAACTTCACGTTTGATAACAATCCCGCCCTGAACATGTCTACATGACAATATTCAGACATAGTGATAGCGCCACCTACTGGCAACAGGAAGTAAGTGCTGTGTGGCGATTTTGAGCTGATTTATGTGACATTTTCATGTCGTGGTCGACTGCACGTGACGCGGCTGCAGCATTCCCCGAGTTGCTTGGAGTGCGAGGTCCTGCCCAACGCTGCTTGCAGCTTTAATTAATGTCTGTGATTGGTTGTTTCTTACAAACTGGATTAACACACATGATGGTGTGACCACACCGACCCTCGTTTCTATTAATAGATGACCTTTGTGTGTGTGTGTGTTGACAAACACTCACCCCGTCGGTGTCGTCCAGTTCGTCCATCTTCATCCGCTGCAGGACGGTGATCTCTCTCTCCTCCTGACTGACCTGAACTTTACTCCCTCGCTTCACCACAGATAGGTGTGTGTGTGAGAGAGACAGAGAGAGAGAGAGAGAGAGAGTGTTTAAATTAGTCATTAAAAAAGAGACGAGTGTGTTAACAGAGAGAGAGAGAGAGACATAGACAGTGAATGAGGTTTTGCACCTTGTCCACAGCAGGCTGTGCTCTGATATGTGGGGGGGGGGGCTGTTGCTATCTTTGTGAGGACCAATTTCAGTTCTGGACCATTGTAGTCAGTGTGTAAACCATACCACAGCTCACTTTTTCAACTTTTGAGAGTGGTGGGGGGGTCAGCTGACTATAAAACAGAGACATTGATAATGGTGATTCACAGACTGGATGGGACTCGGAACATTTATTCAATATATATTATATTCTTTATTAAAGTGAATTACGCACAAATCATATATCAGTAGCAGCTTAAGTTTACTCCTAATCCATGATAATGAAGAAAAATAGAAATGCATGGCAATAACAGCATATTGTACGTATTTAAGAGACCCCAAAATGTAACAAATCATGTTTCAGCTCATGTCTTATTAAGAGGAGCCGAGCTGCCCCTCTAGTTCACACCCAGAGTAATGTGTTACAGACTGGACAACATGTCCCCATAAACCACAATGTCCTCACTTGCCAGGTGTAAAGTCAAATTCAGTCACTCACACAGCCAGATTACATTATATACACAATACTTTATGATAATCTTAATTTTTAAAGTTAAATTTACGTAAGATTTCCTCCTTCGTTTTCCCAGTCATCATTCTCTCTCTCGCCGTCTCCCTCTGTCATTAATAAACAAGATTTATTGTTGCATCAGTAATCATTAAACCAGCAGATACACTCACACACCTCTTACACACACTCACATGATGGAAAATTTTCTCAGCCGTTGTTGAACTTTACTTGATCTTAAATAAACTCTCAACCTTCTGACCTTTCCTGTAGCGCCACCCTCAGGACAAACGTATTACTCCACCAGTGGACAGACCCGAAGATAAATCATCAGAAACTTTATGAGCAGCTTCAGTTTGTCAAAATCTTTCAGTTCAGACTGCAGACACTCAGTCTGCTGAGTCAGCGTTTCCTAACTCTGCTTTAACCTTCAGTGTGTGTGTGTGTGTGTGTGTGTGTGTGTGTGTGTGTGTGTAAGTCTGTGTGTGTGTGTGTGTGTGTGTGAGTCTGTGTGTGTGAGCAGATATAGGTTATGATTCACTAATCATCCTGTAAAACATCAGAAGACACGTACAACCAGCCAATCAGAGCAGCAGTTCCGATTACTTCACCAGTTAGTGCCGCCAGACCTCCTCCAGCCCGATTTTGCTATAAATATAATAAATAAATAATAATTTCCTCAACATTAAATGAGCAGAATGAAACCTTAAATATTATCTGAACCCACAAAACCAAGTTTTTCACCTGAAAGCGTGTATATGGGTATTCAGTCGTAGGACATTTTAGAGCAGAGTATTTACAGATTGTGCAATAAAAATGCATAAATAGCGCCCTCTACTGGCTGAAACTTGGGCATTGCAATTGACTTGAAAAACTGTTTTATGATGCAATATTTAACCTTTGGTGGCTAATGTTAGCTGAGTTTAACCTATATACAAGATCAAATGTACAATAATAATGTGCAAGATTTGGACAAACGTCTCGCTAACAGTGACTGAAGTGGATGTTTTATGGCCACAACCAGAGACCAAGACCAGAGCTGAATTCTTACAATATCTGCGTGAAATCACACTGGATCCAAACACAGCAAACACATATCTGTTGTTATCTGAGGGGAACAGAAAAGCAACATTAATGAGAGAAAAACAGTCTTATTCTAGTCACCCAGACAGATTCACTGGATGTGGGCAGGTCCTGAGTAGAGAGAGTCTGACTGGACGTTGTTACTGGGAGGTGGAGTGGAGAGGTCATGGACTTTATGTAGCAGTCGCATACAAGAATATCAGCAGAGCAGGGAGCTGGTATGAAAGTGGATTTGGACGAAATGACAAATCTTGGGCATTGAGTTATTACAAAAACAGTTTTGACTTCATGTTCAATAATATCAAAACTCCTGTCTCAGGTCCTGAGTCCTCCAGAGTTGGAGTGTACCTGGATCACAGTGCAGGTATTCTGTCCTTCTACGGCATCTCTGAAACCATGACTCTCTTCCACAGAGTCCAGACCACATTCACTCAGCCTCTCTATGCTGGACTTTGGCTTAATTAATGTGGAATCACTGCTGACTTCTGTAAACTCAAATAGACAGAAGTAATTTAAGGGACAGTGGGTTATAGTCTGGCTTTTAATTGTTAAATCCTACTTTGTCTTCATGTTTGTTGCTGAGATCTGATTGTTGTGGCGTTTCTTCACTGCACAGAGATGTCAATCAAACATTGTGGGCGGTATATATCATATTTGTGTTGATGTATTTGTATGTTGTTGTTTCTCTTTCACTGCATACATCCTTAAATTTAAAGCACCAGACCTTCCTTTATTGTAGATAGTATTTTACATTGCTAAGGAAATCTGTAATTACATTTATTACATTATTTTAACATTACATTTTGCTAGAGGACATTTGTAGTTGTTGTCTAAATTGATGTACAAATGAGGAAATGTGAGGTGTTACACAAATGTAATCAACATGATCATAATCAAAAGTTAGTTTAAATTTAAAGTGTGAGCCGCTGTGACGTGGAAGAACTGCCTTTATGAGTGGAAGTGAAGCTGTGGCTAACTGTGGGGGGAAATTGAGACTCCTGTGAGGGTAAAGAGCAGCGGGTCGGTGACTTTGTGCTGATTCTATACTTAAATATCTCAGTGGTCCCTGAAGGCAACAGTCTGTGTCTTCATTTAGTCATGAATCAGAATGTGATAATAAAATTTCTTATAGATCAGCTGTGATTATGATAACATGCTCTTCTACTGCTACTACCTTTACTACGACTACTGTATGACTGCACATCATTTTTATTACAGTAATAATGATCAATATTATGTATCTGTTAGTTTGACCAAGTGGGCAGTGACATTAAAGAATAGTAGTTTCCCAACATGCTCTGTGTTGTGTTGCTGCTGTTTCTGTTGTGTTTGACTGGTCTCTGGTCCTCACTCAGAGGCCGAGGTGCGTTCACTGACCTGGTTCAATGATAACAGCAGTGATGACTGGTTGACTGATGTCTGTCTGTGTGTGTCTGGCTCCACCTGCTGTTTCTTATTTTAATTACAGAGGACAATCTACACTGAGTAACTTGTGCACTCTTTTTATTATTTACCTTCACTACAAAGAGTCTCTGTGATACAACATTGATATGGTGAGATACTGCAGTACTACTTCTTGTGAAATACTATCGGTACACTGCACCAAGTATCTATGTTTCTATTGCGCACATGCTCTAAATCTGTACTTGGACCCCCTTTCTATCATTGAGTAAACTAAGTGACATATTTTATGGATAATTCGTGTTATATTCAATGCATAACAGTAACAGTACAGAACAACTTATAAATGGTACAATAACCACAGTGAACACAATAACTGCAGGAAGTTTGGGTAAAATGAGCAGTTTGGAGGAATTTGGAGAAAAATATTTCCTTAATTTAAGAGTTCTTCTCAAATCCCCAAATAGCATTTTCAACCTGAGAGTTGATCTGAAAAATAATTGTAATCTCTTCTCTACCGTTTTTTCCTATGTGACCTGAATGCAGCATCAGGCTGTGAAAAAAATTAAAAATAGAGATAAATAAAGACAAGAAAAGATAAGAAAACTGTACAGAAGATGGGAGTGCATTAATGTAATGCATATACAGGGTGTGTTTAAGAGTCAGTGACAGTGGGGGATCCGGGCCTTGTTAATGATGCCAGCTGTAGACGGAAAGGTTGGTGGCGAAAGGTTTTGGTCCTGATGGACCGCAGCCTCCTGCCAGAGGGGAGAGGTTCAAAGAGTTTCTGACCGGGGTGGGAGGGGTCAGCCACAATCTTGCCTGCACGCTTCAGGGTCCTAGAGATGTACAGGTCCTGGAGGGATGGCAGGTTGCAGCTGATCACCTTCTCAGCAGATCGAATAATACGCTGCAGTCTGCCCTTGTCCTTGGCAGTGGCAGCAGCGTACCAGATGGTGATGGAAGAGGTGAGGATGGACTTGATGATGGCGGTGTAGAGGTGCACCATCATCGTCTTTGGCAGGTTGAACTTCCCCAGCTGCCGCAGGAAGTACATCCTCTGCTGGGCTTTCTTGGTGAGGGAGCTGATGTTTAGCTCCCACTTGAGGTCCTAGGTAATGATGGTACCCAGGAAGCGGAAGGACTCCACAGAGTCAACTGGGGAGTCACACAGGGTGATGGTGGCGGGTGGCACTGGGTTCTTTCTAAAGTCCACAACCATCTCCACTGTTTTTAGAGCATTTAGCTTCAGGTTATTCTGGCTGCACCAGGTCACTAGATGGTCAATCTCTTATCTGTAGACGGACTCATCTTCACCAGAGATGAGGCCAATGAGGTAGGTGTCATCTGCAGACTTCAGGAGCCTAACAGACTGGTGACTGGAGGTGCAGCAAGTTTGTATACAGGGAGAAGAGCAGAGGAGAAAGAACACAGCCTTGTGGGGATCCGGTGCTGATGGTCTGGGAGGCAGACACATTTTCCCCCAGCTTCACTTGTTGTTTCCTGTCAGAAAGGAAGTCTGTGATCCAACTGCAGGTGGAGTCAGGCACAGTGAGCTGGGAGAGCTTGTCCTGTAGCAGAGCTGGGACGATGGTGTTAAACGCAGAGCTCAAGTCCACAAACAGGATCATGGCATAGGTTCCTGGGGAGTCCAGATGCTGGAGGGTGAAGTGCAGGGCCATGTTAACTGCATCATCTACAGAGCTGTTGGCTCTGTAGGTGAACTGCAGGGGGTCCAGGAGTGGGTCCGTTATGGCTTTCAGGTGGGAAAGCACAAGGCGCTCAGAAGACTTCATGACCAGAGAGGTGAGGGCAACAGGTCTGTAGTCATTGAGTCCTGTGGCTTTTTTGGGGACATGGATGATGGTGGATGACTTGAAGCAGGCTGGCACATGACATGTCTCCAATGAGGTGTTGAAGATGTCCGTGAACACCAGAGACGGCTGGGCAGCACAGTGCTTCAGGGTGGATGGAGAGACAGAGGGCCTGTCCTCACGAATACGTTTTTCACGAATCCGGATAAATACTTTATGGCCTCGCATCCAGACGGATACGGCATTTTTTGAAAATGGGTCTCAGAGTGGGAAAATCCGAAAACGCCGGATTGCCCGGAGTCGTCAGGACGGTGAAGCGGATTTTTCCCAAAACGATGACGTATTAGCCCCGCCTCTCTAGCCTTTAACCTCAGCCGTCGCCGCTAAACGCGTCATAACAACAACAACAATGGCGTACTACTACTACTTGTTAGTAAACAGCGCATGCCTCTAAAAAAGTCTGTTGACGTCCCTCTCTTGGAGGCAGAGAGTCGTCACTGTGTTGGAGGAGGAGGGATTCACAGAGGTGTGAAGTTGTTGAGTGGCCCTGGCTCCTGATGGCTGGGGGGGGGACTGGTGAGGTGGGGCTGTTGAGGGGTGTCACGGGGGATGGTGTCAAGACTGCTCCTTTGTCTGTCGAAGCGGCAGTAGAACCCATTCCGCTCGTTTGCCAGGCGCAAGTCGTTGATGGAGTGGGGGGTTTTAGGCTTGTTGATGGTTATCAGTCTGAGCCCCCTCCAGACAGAACCAGAGTCGTTGGCTGAGAACTGATGTTTGAGTTTCTGAGAGTACTGTCGTTTAGCTTCTCTCACCGCCTTGCTAAACTTGTTCTTTGACTCCTTAAACTTATCCTCGTCCCCACTCCCCAACGCTTGCTCCTTCTGCAACCGTAACTGTCTGAGTTTGGCTGTGAACCAGGGTTTGTCATTGTTATAACTCACCCTGGTGCATGCACAGAAGTCCTCACAGAAGCTGATATATGATGTCACAGCATCTGTGTACTCGTCCAGACTTTCAGTAGCAGTCCTGAACACATCCCAGTCCGTAGAGTCCAAACACGCCTGGAGATCCTCCGCAGCTTCACTGGTCCACTGTTGTGATGTCCTCACAACAGGTTTACAGAGCTTTAATTTCTGCCTTTATGAAGGAATCCGGTGGACCATGACGTGGTCAGAGAGGCCCAGTGCGGCGCGGGGGACGGCGTGATAAGCTCTGCTAACTGTAGTGTAACAGTGATCCAGTATGTTCTTCTCTCTGGTCGGGCATTTAATAAACTGTTTGTATTTAGGAAGTGACTGGCTGAGGTTTCCTTTGTTAAAGTGACCAAGGAAAGTAACTAAGGAGTCCGGGTTAGTCCGTTCCACACACAGTATCTGGTCGGCAAGCGTGCACTGTGCCTCCTGCCAATGGCCTGTGGTGGAATGTAAACACCAACCAGAATGAATGAAACAAACTCATGGGAGGAGTAAAAAGGTTTGCAGTTTATGATAAAATATTCCAGATTAGAAGAGCAGTGCTGTTGGATCACTGTCACATCATTGCACCAGCTACTGTTGGTATAAAAACAGATACGTCTACCCTTTGTTTTGCCGGAGAGTTACGTGTCACAATCCACTCTGAGGAGTTGGAAGCCTGCCAGCTGCAGCGCAGAGTCCGGTATCGATCCACAGAGTCCGGTATCGATCCACAGAGTCCGGTATCAATCCACAGAGATCGGTATCGTTACACCTAGCCACGTCTCCGTGAAGCATAAAACAGAGGATGAAGAAAAGTCACTGTTTTCTCCAGTTGTAGCTGAAGTTTGTCCATTTTGTTGCAAAGTGAACGCGCTGGCAGAGACGCACAAGCGCACCGGTACGTTTTCCTCTCCTCCTGCGTGAGCAAGGAGGCACACCTTGACCACAATGTCCGATAATTCCACGGAAGAAAGCAGAAAAGTGAGAAAGAGATCAGCTGGAGTTGCTCCCCTGATGTTTGTGAGCTCTTCTCTAGTGAAAGAGCTCTGGGTATCACAGCCCAAAACTGAATTAACACACAAAACAAGAAAAAACAAAGCGCACCAACACACCGAGGCGACAGTCAGTGGCGCCATAGCTTAGCTATGTTGGGGATGTAATGGAGGTTTAACCCACCTCAACTCACTTTGTCTCCAACATGTTTATAGGCTGATAAAAAGCTTGATAATAAAAGTGCATTATGTCATAAAAGTGCAGATACAATCTCTGTGTGGCTTCTTTAACCCTCGAGGAACCTTGGGGGACCAAACGTACATTCTGCTTATTTGATTTTTTTGATTCTCAATATCTCAGTCAGTTTAAGGGCTAATTGTGTGAAACTTGGCCAGGATTTGTTGTTTATTATTATTTTTAAAATTCCATGACCCCCTTTATTACCACATATTTTTGATATACTGTAATCCTGACATATTATTACGCTTTTCCCATTAATACCAAATAAATCTAAGCTGCTACCTTCAAAATTCAGGGACAACAGATTTTAAGTGTGATGACCCCTGCAAACCACCAGGGGCAGCAGAGCTTCATCACATAAAGTTTCAATGGAGGCCTGGTTCTCTTACCTTGCTAAATGCATGGCAATAAAAAAGCTGAACACCATAAAAATGGTCTCAGCCCGTTCAAAATGCCAACTGGGACTGCAAACCTTTCTTTGTCTCCTTAGACAAAGGAAAACCCAGTTGAACTCAACTTCCCAGGGTCCTTAGCGTTTCACACCTGGATGTGAAACCCGCCTACAGACCCAGCTCTCAGACGCCATTGGTCCAACTTTTGTAAATAAATCCAGCTGAGAGACGCATCTCTGTCTCTGTGTGTGAATTTGGGTTTACTGTTTGGAGATAACTCTGCGCAACTTAACGAGTTCTCCCTCCTTTTTGGACAAAGTAAGTACAGTTTCTCTGATCCGCCATTTGGCCACGGTAGAAAGGTTTAACTTGGCTCTGCTCCGGTAATACCGGTACATCCGCTGCACACAACAGCGAATATCATCTCCTGAAGAACGGACCAAGGCGACCAGCTTCCCTTTCCCCCGTGTCTTCCCGTCGATGATCGCCTGTAAACTCTCCTCCTCCGCCGCCGTGCCTAAGGAGTAACAGGACGGTTCTTTTCGCTGCCGAGCGTTAAGATAAAGGAGCAGCCCGCACCGATATTCCTGGCCGCTCACCGCAACAGGAATCACGCGTACAGCATCGGGATCACACGGAGTGATTCCCTCAAGTAAGGCTTGGTTTCAAAGTACAGAGACATTAAATCATTGATCAGTGTATTCTATGTTTGATATATAACGGGTATAGTGAATGCTATTGGGAGTGTGACTGTATGAAACTGAGGTTCAGAGGACTGATCGCTCAGTCTTGTTATTGGGAGTGATTTCATAACAGTTAAAGGTCCCGCCATTCACCACACCCTCTCTCCTTCGTTACCTGTGGTTTGCTTCAGGACCCCCGCAGGGTCTGAGGCCGCCATCTTTCCCCTTTGTTATATTCACACCTACACACACTGGCATCATTAGGACTTTGTTTTGTGCCTTTGGTTATATTGTGTGGAATTGATTGTATGTTTGCTAGAATATAATACATTCTTTTATATTTGACCAGAAGTGCCTTTTGGTTGTTTTTACTTGAATGTTGTGTGGAAACCAGCCTCTGCTACGCCAAGAACTCTAAAGCTTTCCCTTCAGTATACTTGTTACCTTCTTAGACCCATAACTTCACTGTAATCAGATTACAGTGGATTTCTGGTCTGAGAATTGTAACTAATTCCATTTTATTTTGATTATTTAGTCGTTAATTAAACCGTCATAATTTGTGGTAGATGAGACGTAGATCAATCCGGTATCCGCTATCGTTTCCCTCTGTTTAGAGGATGGTGCCCGGAGGACTTAAATTAAGTTTAAAGCTAAATGTTCAACATTCAATCTAAAGATTATATTTGATAGACAGTTTATTGATCCAAACAACCTGTTGCACCTACATGGGTGAGCAGGCGATCAGCAGAGTTCTGGATGTACTGAAGTTCATTAAGAACTTTGGATGATGTACCATATAAGCTGCAGTTGCGATAGTTAATTCTGGTTGTGATGAAAGCGTGGATGAGGGTCTCAGCAGCAGAAGAGGAGAGTGAGGGCGGAGGCGTACCATGTTTGTCAGGTGGAAGAAGGCAGTTCTGATGATTTGGTTGAAGTGGTGTTCAAACGAGAGGTGGCTGTCGAAGATGACTCCGAGGTTGTGTATGTGTGGGGAGGGAGACAGAGTGGTGATGTCAACAGTGAGGTTGAAGTTGTTTTGTGTAAGGATTTGGGACCGATTATGATTATTTCAGATTGGTCACAGTTGAGTTTGAGGAAGTTGGCATGCATCCATGATTTGATTTCAGTCAGGCAGTGTGTCAGAGTGGAGTGGGTGTTCTGGATTTAGTGGAGATGTAGAGCTGGTCGTCATCAGCATAACAGTGGAAGCAGAGACCCTGATGGCGGCGGGTTTCCTCTCATTCTTTCTATCCCAGAGCCGATTCTCAGAATAAATGATGTGAGCTGGGATGAAAGGCGCTCAATGAGTGGGGAGGAGGAGCTGCCGGGGGTTAAATGAAAACCTTGGGCCCATTCACGTCCCCTCCGTTTGTGTCCATGGCGGCGTATGAGGTTACCAAGGGGAATAATTTACAGGATGAACAGGAGAGGACCGAGCACTGAACCCTGGGGGATGCCTTGGGACAGGGGAGCAGTGGAGGAGGTGCTGTTGTTGATAAAATGATGAACTGCTGTCTGTTTGTGAGATGTGACCTTAGCCAGGAGAAGGCAGCACCAGTGATGTTGAGAGAGGACTGAGGGCGGGAGAGAAGAATGGTGTGGTTGATGGTGTCAAAAGCTGCAGTGAGGTCCAGGAGGATGACAATGTGGAGGTCTACTGTGAAGGAACTGGAGCAGTTATCACAGGACTTGAGAAGTTTATGTATGGTGGAAAAGAGAGTCTTGGGCTTGGTAGAGCCAGAGTGTATGAGATGTGAGTAGTAGGTGGACCGGTCAGTCGTTAGACAGTCTTTGTATTGCTGTAGGTAGTCTGTGTAGGCTTGGAAATGCACTGTTAGGCCAGTTTGCAGGATTTCAGGAGTATACCAGGGAGCTGAGTGTGTGAACGAGACTGTTTTGGTTTTAATGGGAGCAAGCTGGTCGAGGCAAGAGAAGAGTGTTGCATTATAATGGTTGACAAGATGGGCGGGATTATCAAGCGATCACTGAACTTCCAAGAAGTATTTTACAGTTAAAAATGTTATTGTTTTCTGATCAGTAGCAGGTTTTACAGCAACATGATTGTAAATTAAGAAACAAAGTTCAGATTCACAGAGATGCTCCTCTTCCTGGAATGAAACACAGCGTGAAAACTCTCAAACACACTAAACTCTTCTCTTTTCCCTGCAGATCTACATGTTGTTGAGGTGAAATGGCGCAGAAAGGAGTTCAGCTGGACCGGGAGACCATCTCTTGTTCGATCTGTCTGGATCTACTGCAGGATCCGGTGACTCTTCCCTGTGGACACAGCTACTGTATGAACTGTATTAAAAGCTACTGGGATGGAGAGGATGAGAAGAAAATCCACAGCTGCCCTCAGTGTATGCAGACCTTCACACCGAGGCCTGTCCTGATGAAAAACACCATGTTAGCAGTTTTAGTGGAGGAACTGAAGAAGACTGGACTCCAAGCTGCTCCTGCTGATCACTGCTATGCTGGACCTGAAGATGTGGCCTGTGATGCCTGCACTGGGAGAAAACTGAAAGCCCTCAAGTCCTGTCTGTTCTGTGTGGCCTCTTACTGTGAGACACACCTGCAGCCTCACTTTGAATCACCTGCCTTTAAGAAACACAAGCTGGTGGACCCCTCCAAGAAGCTCCAGGAGAACATCTGCTCTCGTCACGATGAGGTGATGAAGATGTTCTGCCGTACTGATCAGCAGTGTATCTGTTATCTCTGCTCTGTGGATGAACATAAAGGCCACGACACAGTCTCAGCTGCAGCAGAAAGGACTGAGAGGCAGAGAGAGCTCGAGGTGAGTCGACAAAACATCCAGCAGAGAATCCAGGACAGAGAGAAAGATGTGAAGGAGCTTCAACCGCAGGTGGAGGCTATCAATCGCTCTGCTGATAAAGCAGTGGAGGACAGTGAGAAGATCTTCACTCAGCTGATCCGTCTCATGGAGAAAAGAAGCTCTGATGTGGAGCAGCAGGTCAGATCCCAGCAGGAAACTGAAGTGAGTCAAGTCAAAGAGCTTCAGGAGAAGCTGGAGCAGGAGATCACTGAGCTGAAGAGGAAAGACGCTGAGATGAAGAAACTCTCACACACAGAGGACCACACCCAGTTTCTATACAACTACCCCTCACTGTCAGCACTCAGTGAATCTACATCCAGCATCAATATCCGTCCTCTGAGGTACTTTGAGGATGTGACAGCGGCTGCTTCAGAGCTCAGAGATAAACTACAGGACGTTCTGAAGGAGAAATGGACAAACGTCTCACTGCCAGTGACTGAAGTGGATGTTTTACTGCCACAACCAGAGCCCAAGACCAGAGCTGAACTCTTAAAATATTCACGTAAAATCACACTGGATCCAAACACAGCAAGCGAATGGATTTTGATATCTCAGGGGGAAAGAAAAGCAACAACAATGAGTCAACAACAGTCTTATTCTAGTCACCCAGACATATTCACTAGATATTTTCAGGTCCTGAGTAGAGGGAGTCTGACTGGACGTTGTTACTGGGAGGTGGAGTGGAGAGGGGATGGAGTTGAAGTAGCAGTCGCATACCATAATATCATCAGAGCAGGGACAGGGGATGAATGTGTATTTGGACAAAATGACAAATCTTGGGCATTAACATGTGACCCTAACGGTTATTACTTTATGTTCAACAATATGGAAACTCCTGTCTCAGGTCCTCAGTCCTCCAGAGTTGGAGTGTACCTGGATCACAGTGCAGGTATTCTATCCTTCTACAGCGTCTCTGAAACCATGACTCTCCTCCACCAAGTCCAGACCACATTCACTCAGCCTCTCTATGCTGGAGTTGGGTTTCCTGAAGGTGGAGCCACTGCTGAGTTCTGTAAACTGAAGTAGACAGAAGTCATTTAAGGGACAGTGGGTTATATTCTGCCTTTTAATTGTTAAATCCTATTTTGTCTTGATGTTTGTTGCTGAGAGCTGATTGTTGTGGCGTTTCTTCACTGCACAGAGATCACCTGTCAATTAAACATTGTGGGCGGTACTTTGACATCTTCTCATTAGTTGTTGTGTAAATGTTTGAGTCTCTTTAGGTGGCGCTGTTCAGCCATAGAGGTTATCACTGCTCATGATGGCTTTTGTTAAGCTGAACTGACATTTCTCTGCTCTCTAAATATATAGGATTTAAAGCACCAGACCTTCCTTTATTGTAGATAGTTTGTTCTTATCATTTTGTACATTTCTAAAATAATCTGTAATTACATTATTTTAACATTACATTTTGCTAAAGGACATTTGTAGTTGTTGTCCAAATTGACGTACAAATGAGGAAATGTAAGGTGTTACACAAATGTAATCAACATGATCATAATCAATAAGGAGATACACAGCTGCTGTGCTCAAGAGGTTTGTCATTTATTTTATACTTAAATATCTCAGTGGTCCCTGAAGGCAACAGTCTGTGTGTTCATTTAGTCACAAAGCAGAACGTGATAATAAAATGTTGTCTTATAGATCAGCTGTGATTATGATAACATGCTCTTCTACTGCTACTACCTTTACTACGACTACTGTATGACTGCACATCATTTTTATTACAGTAATAATGATCAATATTATGTATCTGTTAGTTTGACCAAGTGGGCAGTAACATTAAAGAATAGTAGTTTCCCAGCATGCTCTGTGTTGTGTTTGACTGGTCTCTGGTCCTCGCTCAGAGGCCGAGGTGCGTTCACTGACCTGGTTCAATGATAACAGCAGTGATGACTGGTTGACTGATGTCTGTCTGTGTGTGTCTGGCTCCACCTGCTGTTTCTTATTTTAATTACAGAGGACAATCTACACTGAGTAACTTGTGCACTCTTTTTATTATTTACCTTCACTACAAAGAGTCTCTGTGATACAACATTGATATGGTGAGATACTGCAGTACTACTTCTTGTGAAATACTATCGGTACACTGCACCAAGTATCTATGTTTCTATTGCACACATGCTCTAAATCTGTACTTGGACCCCCTTTCTATCATTGAGTAAACTAAGTGACATATTTTATGGATAATTCGTGTTATATTCAATGCATAACAGTAACAGTACAGAACAACTTATAAATGGTACAATAACCACAGTGAACACAATAACTGCAGGAAGTTTGTGTAAAATGAGCAGTTTAGAGGAATTTGGAGCAAAATATTTCCTTAATTTAAGAGTTCTTCTCAAATCCCCAAATAGTATTTTCAACCTGAGAGTTGATCTGAAAAATAATTGTAATCTCTTCTCTACCGTCTTTTCCTATGTGACCTGAATGCAGCATCAGGCTGTGAAAAAAATTAAAAATAGAGATAAATAAAGACAAGAAAAGATAAGAAAACTGTACAGAAGATGGGAGTGCATTAATGTAATGCATATACAGGGTGTGTTTAAGAGTCAGTGACAGTGGGGGATCCGGGCCTTGTTAATGATGCCAGCTGTAGACGGAAAGGTTGGTGGCGAAAGGTTTTGGTCCTGATGGACCGCAGCCTCCTGCCCGAGGGGAGAGGTTCAAAGAGTTTCTGACCGGGGTGGGAGGGGTCAGCCACAATCTTGCCTGCACGCTTCAGGGTCCTAGAGATGTACAGGTCCTGGAGGGATGGCAGGTTGCAGCTGATCACCTTCTCAGCAGATCGAATAATACGCTGCAGTGGCAGCAGCGTACCAGATGGTGATGGAAGAGGTGAGGATGGACTTGATGATGGCGGTGTAGAGGTGCACCATCATCGTCTTTGGCAGGTTGAACTTCCCCAGCTGCCGCAGGAAGTACATCCTCTGCTGGGCTTTCTTGGTGAGGGAGCTGATGTTTAGCTCCCACTTGAGGTCCTGAGTGATAATGGTACCCAGGAAGCGGAAGGACTCCACAGAGTCAACTGGGGAGTCACACAGGGTGATGGTGGCGGGTGGCACTGGGTTCTTTCTAAAGTCCACAACCATCTCCACTGTTTTTAGAGCATTTAGCTTCAGGTTATTCTGGCTGCACCAGGTCACTACATGGTCAATCTCTTATCTGTAGACGGACTCATCTTCACCAGAGATGAGGCCAATGAGGTAGGTGTCATCTGCAGACTTCAGGAGCCTAACAGACGGGTGACTGGAGGTGCATCAAGTTTGTATACAGGGAGAAGAGCAGAGGAGAAAGAACACAGCCTTGTGGGGATCCGGTGCTGATGGTCTGGGAGGCAGACACATTTTCCCCCAGCTTCACTTGTTGTTTCCTGTCGGAAAGGAAGTCTGTGATCCAACTGCAGGTGGAGTCAGGCATAGTGAGCTGGGAGAGCTTGTCCTGTAGCAGAGCTGGGATGATGGTGTTAAACGCAGAGCTCAAGTCCACAAACAGGATCATGACATAGGTTCCTGGGGAGTCCAGATGCTGGAGGGTGAAGTGCAGGGCCATGTTAACTGCATCATCTACAGACCTGTTGGCTCTGTAGGTGAACTGCAGGGGGTCCAGGAGTGGGTCCGTTATGGCTTTCAGGTGGGAAAGCACAAGGCGCTCAGAAGACTTCATGACCAGAGAGGTGAGGGAAACAGGTCTGTAGTCATTGAGTCCTGTGGCTTTTTTGGGGACAGGGATGATGGTGGATGACTTGAAGCAGGCTGGCACATGACATGTCTCCAATGAGGTGTTGAAGATGTCCGTGAACACCAGAGACGGCTGGGCAGCACAGTGCTTCAGGGTGGATGGAGAGACAGAGGGCCTGTCCTCACGAATACGTTTTTCACGAATCCGGATAAATACATTATGGCCTCGCGTCCAGACGGATACGGCGTTTTCTGGGTGTGAAAACGGCATTTTTTGAAAATGGGTCCCAGAGTGGGAAAATCAGAAAAAACGCCGGGTTGCCCGGAGTCGTCAGGACGGTGAAACGGATTTTTCCCGAAACGATGACGTATTAGCCCCGCCTCTCTAGCCTTTAACCTCAGCCGCCGCCGCTAAACGCGTCATACCAACAACAACAATGGCGTACTACTACTACTTGTTAGTAAACAGCGCATGCTCCATGGCTTCTCTTTCGGTTTTAGTGTATTGGTGTGGCAGCGTCACAGTGCCACATACAGGCCTGGCATATGTACTACAGCGTTTTGGGTCGTTTTCAGTGAATCCGTGCGGACGCAGATATTTCTGGAAACGACGCCGTGTTTACGGAGATTTTTTCCGAAACGACATCGTATTGGGTGAGGTCGCGTATTCGTGAGGACAGGGCCAGAGTCTGGTCAGGCTGCCTTGCGGGGGTTCTACCTCTTAAAAAGTCTGTTGACGTCCCTCTCTTGGAGGCAGAGAGTCGTCACTGTGTTGGAGGAGGAGGGATTCACAGAGGTGTGAAGTTGTTGAGTGGCCCTGGCTCCTGATGGCTGGGGGGGGACTGGTGAGGTGGGGCTGTTGAGGGGTGTAACGGGGGATGGTGTCAAGACTGCTCCTTTGTCTGTCGAAGCGGCAGTAGAACCCATTCCGCTCGTTTGCCAGGCGCAAGTCGTTGATGGAGTGGGGGGTTTTAGGCTTGTTGATGGTTATCAGTCTGAGCCCCCTCCAGACAGAACCAGAGTCGTTGGCTGAGAACTGATGTTTGAGTTTCTGAGAGTACTGTCGTTTAGCTTCTCTCACCGCCTTGCTAAACTTGTTCTTTGACTCCTTAAACTTATCCTCGTCCCCACTCCCCAACGCTTGCTCCTTCTGCAACCGTAACTGTCTGACTTTGGCTGTGAACCAGGGTTTGTCATTGTTATAACTCACCCTGGTGCATGCACAGAAGTCCTCACAGAAGCTGATATATGATGTCACAGCATCTGTGTACTCGTCCAGACTTTCAGTAGCAGTCCTGAACACATCCCAGTCCGTAGAGTCCAAACACGCCTGGAGATCCTCCGCAGCTTCACTGGTCCACTGTTGTGATGTCCTCACAACAGGTTTACAGAGCTTTAATTTCTGCCTTTATGAAGGAATCCGGGTGGACCATGACGTGGTCAGAGAGGCCCAGTGCGGCGCGGGGGACGGCGTGATAAGCTCTGCTAACTGTAGTGTAACAGTGATCCAGTATGTTCTTCTCTCTGGTCGGGCATTTAATAAACTGTTTGTATTTAGGAAGTTCCTGACTGAGGTTTCCTTTGTTAAAGTCACCAAGGACAATAACTAAGGAGTCCGGGTTAGTCCGATCCACACACAGTATCTGGTCGGCAAGCGTGCGCTGTGCCTCCTGCACGTTGGCCTGTGGTGGAATGTAAACACCAACCAGAATGAATGAAACAAACTCAGGGGGGGAGTAAAAAGGTTTGCAGTTTATGATAAAATATTCCAGATTAGAAGAGCAGTGCTGTTGGATCACTGTCACATCATTGCATCAGCTACTGTTGGTATAAAAACAGATACGTCTACCCTTTGTTTTGCCGGAGAGTTACGTGTCACAATCCACTCTGAGGAGTTGGAAGCCTGCCAGCTGCAGCGCAGAGTCCGGTATCGATCCACAGAGTCCGGTATCGATCCACAGAGTCCGGTATCGATCCACAGAGTCCGGTATCAATCCACAGAGATCGGTATCGTTACACCTAGCCACGTCTCCGTGAAGCATAAAACAGAGGATGAAGAAAAGTCACTGTTTTTCTCCAGTTGTAGCTGAAGTTTGTCCATTTTGTTGCAAAGTGAACGCGCTGGCAGAGACGCACAAGCGCACCGGCACGTTTTCCTCTCCTCCTGCGTGAGCAAAGGAGAGCACACCTTTGACCACAATGTCCGATAATTCCACGGAAGAAAGCAGAAAAGTGAGAAAGAGATCAGCTGGAGTTGCTCCCCTGATGTTTGTGAGCTCTTCTCTAGTGAAAGAGCTCTGGGTATCACAGCCCAAAACTGAATTAACACACAAAACAAGAAAAAACAAAGCGCATCAACACACCGAGGCGACAGTCAGTGGCGCCATAGCTTAGCTATGTTGGGGATGTAATGGAGGTTTAACCCACCTCAACTCACTTTGTCTCCAACATGTTTATAGGCTGATAAAAAGCTTGATAATAAAAGTGCATTATGTCATAAAGTGCAGATACAATCTCTGTGTGGCTTCTTTAACCCTCGAGGAACCTTGGGGGACCAAACGTACTTTCTGCTTATTTGATTTTTTTGATTCTCAATATCTCAGTCAGTTTAAGGGCTAATTGTGTGAAACTTGGCCAGGATTTGTTGTTTATTATTATTTTTAAAATTCCATGACCCCCTTTATTACCACATATTTTTGATATACTGTAATCCTGACATATTATTACGCTTTTCCCATTAATACCAAATAAATCTAAGCTGCTACCTTCAAAATTCAGGGACAACAGATTTTAAGTGTGATGACCCCTGCAAACCACCAGGGGCAGCAGAGCTTCATCACATAAAGTTTCAATGGAGGCCTGGTTCTCTTACCTTGCTAAATGCATGGCAATAAAAAAGTTGAACACCATAAAAATGGTCTCAGCCCGTTCAAAATGCCAACTGGGACTGCAAACCTTTCTTTGTCTCCTTAGACAAAGGAAAACCCAGTTGAACTCAACTTCCCAGGGTCCTTAGCGTTTCACACCTGGATGTGAAACCCGCCTACAGACCCAGCTCTCAGACGCCATTGGTCCAACTGCCGCTACCAGTGACGTCACTTTTGTAAATAAATCCAGCTGAGAGACGCATCTCTGTCTCTGTGTGTGAATTTGGGTTTACTGTTTGGAGATAACTCTGCGCAACTTAACGAGTTCTCCCTCCTTTTTGGACAAAGTAAGTACAGTTTCTCTGATCCGCCATTTGGCCACGGTAGAAAGGTTTAACTTGGCTCTGCTCCGGTAATACCGGTACATCCGCTGCACACAACAGCGAATATCATCTCCTGAAGAACGGACCAAGGCGACCAGCTTCCCTTTCCCCCGTGTCTTCCCGTCGATGATCGCCTGTAAACTCTCCTCCTCCGCCGCCGTGCCTAAGGAGTAACAGGACGGTTCTTTTCGCTGCCGAGCGTTAAGATAAAGGAGCAGCCCGCACCGATATTCCTGGCCGCTCACCGCAACAGGAATCACGCGTACAGCATCGGGATCACACGGAGTGATTCCCTCAAGTAAGGCTTGGTTTCAAAGTACAGAGACATTAAATCATTGATCAGTGTATTCTATGTTTGATATATAACGGGTATAGTGAATGCTATTGGGAGTGTGACTGTATGAAACTGAGGTTCAGAGGACTGATCGCTCAGTCTTGTTATTGGGAGTGATTTCATAACAGTTAAAGGTCCCGCCATTCACCACACCCTCTCTCCTTCGTTACCTGTGGTTTGCTTCAGGGTCTGAGGCCGCCATCTTTCCCATTTGTTACATTCATACCTACACACACTGGCATCATTAGGACTTTGTTTTGTGCCTTTGGTTATATTGTGTGGAATTGATTGTATGTTTGCTAGAATATAATACATTCTTTTATATTTGACCAGAAGTGCCTTTTGGTTGTTTTTACTTGAATGTTGTGTGGAAACCAGCCTCTGCTACGCCAAGAACTCTAAAGCTTTCCCTTCAGTATACTTGTTACCTTCTTAGACCCATAACTTCACTGTAATCAGATTACAGTGGATTTCTGGTCTGAGAATTGTAACTAATTCCATTTTATTTTGATTATTTAGTCGTTAATTAAACCGTCATAATTTGTGGTAGATGAGACGTAGATCAATCCGGTATCCGCTATCGTTTCCCTCTGTTTAGAGGATGGTGCCCGGAGGACTTAAATTAAGTTTAAAGCTAAATGTTCAACATTCAATCTAAAGATTATATTTGATAGACAGTTTATTGATCCAAACAACCTGTTGCACCTACATGGGTGAGCAGGCGATCAGCAGAGTTCTGGATGTACTGAAGTTCATTAAGAACTTTGGATGATGTACCATATAAGCTGCAGTGGCGATAGTTAATTCTGGTTGTGATGAAAGCGTGGATGAGGGTCTCAGCAGCAGAAGAGGAGAGTGAGGGCGGAGGCGTACCATGTTTGTCAGGTGGAAGAAGGCAGTTCTGATGATTTGGTTGAAGTGGTGTTCAAAGGAGAGGTTGCTGTCGAAGATGACTCCGAGGTTGTGTATGTGTGGGGAGGGAGACAGAGTGGTGCTGTCAACGGTGAGGCCGAAGTTGTTTGTGTTTGAAGGATTTGGGACCGATTATGATTATTTCAGATTTGTCACAGTTGAGTTTGAGGAAGTTGGCATGCATCCATGATTTGATTTCAGTCAGGCAGTGTGTCAGAGTGGAGTGGGTGTTCTGGATTTAGTGGAGATGTAGAGCTGGTCGTCATCAGCATAACAGTGGAAGCAGAGACCCTGATGGCGGCGGGTTTGCTCTCATTCTTTCTATCCCAGAGCCGATTCTCAGAATAAATGATGTGAGCTGGGATGAAAGGCGCTCAATGAGTGGGGAGGAGGAGCTGCCGGGGGTTAAATGAAAACCTTGGGCCCATTCACGTCCCCTCCGTCGGTGTCCATGGCGGCGTATGAGGTTACCAAGGGGAATAATTTACAGGATGAACAGGAGAGGACCGAGCACTGAACCCTGGGGGATGCCTTGGGACAGGGGAGCAGTGGAGGAGGTGCTGTTGTTGATAAAATGATGAACTGCTGTCTGTTTGTGAGATGTGACCTTAGCCAGGAGAAGGCAGCACCAGTGATGTTGAGAGAGGACTGAGGGCGGGAGAGAAGAATGGTGTGGTTGATGGTGTCAAAAGCTGCAGTGAGGTCCAGGAGGATGACAATGTGGAGGTCTACTGTGAAGGAACTGGAGCAGTTATCACAGGACTTGAGAAGTTTATGTATGGTGGAAAAGAGAGTCTTGGGGCTTGGTAGAGCCAGAGTGTATGAGATTTGAGTAGTAGGTGGACCGGGCAGTGGTTACAGAGTCTTTGTATTGCTGTAGGTAGTCTGTGTAGGCTTGGAAATGCACTGTTAGGCCAGTTTGCAGGATTTCAGGAGTATACCAGGGAGCTGAGTGTGTGAACGAGACTGTTTTGGTTTTAATGGGAGCAAGCTGGTCGAGGCAAGAGAAGAGTGTTGCATTATAATGGTTGACAAGATGGGCGGGATTATCAAGCGATCACTGAACTTCCAAGAAGTATTTTACAGTTAAAAATGTTATTGTTTTCTGATCAGTAGCAGGTTTTACAGCAGCATGATTTGTAAATGAAGAAAGTTCAGATTCACAGAGATGCTCCTCTTCCTGGAATGAAACACAGTTTGAAAACTCTCAAACACACTAAACTCTTCTCTTTTCCCTGCAGATCTACATGTTGTTGAGGTGAAATGGCGCAGAAAGGAGTTCAGCTGGACCGGGAGACCATCTCTTGTTCGATCTGTCTGGATCTACTGCAGGATCCGGTGACTATTCCCTGTGGACACAGCTACTGCATGAACTGTATTAAAAGCTACTGGGATGGAGAGGATGAGAGGAAAATCCACAGCTGCCCTCAGTGTAGGCAGACCTTCACACCGAGTCCTGTCCTGATGAAAAACACCATGTTAGCAGTTTTAGTGGAGGAGCTGAAGAAGACTGGACTCCAAGCTGCTCCTGCTGATCACTGCTATGCTGGACCTGAAGATGTGGCCTGTGATGTCTGCACTGGGAGAAAAGTGAAAGCCCTCAAGTCCTGTCTGTTCTGTGTTGCCTCTTACTGTGAGACACACCTGCAGCCTCACTTTGAATCACCTACCTTTAAGAAACACAAGCTGGTGGACCCCTCCAAGAAGCTCCAGGAGAACATCTGCTCTCGTCATAATGAGGTGATGAAGATGTTCTGCCGTACTGATCAGCAGTGTATCTGTTATCTCTGCTCCGTGGAGGAACATGAAGGCCACGACACAGTCTCAGCTGCAGCAGAAAGGACTGAGAGGCAGAGAGAGCTCGAGGTGAGTCGACAAAACGTCCAGCAGAGAATCCAGGACAGAGAGAAAGATGTGAAGGAGCTTCAACAGCAGGTGGAGGCTATCAATCGCTCTGCTGATAAAGCAGTGGAGGACAGTGAGAAGATCTTCACTCAGCTGATCTGTCTCATGGAGAAAAGAAGCTCTGATGTGAAGCAGCAGGTCAGATCCCAGGAGGAAACTGATGTGAGTCGGGTCAAAGAGCTTCAGGAGAAGTTGGAGCAGGAGATCACTGAGCTGAAGAAGAAAGACGCTGAGATGAAGAAGCTCTCACACACAGAGGACCACACCCAGTTTCTATACAACTACCCCTCACTGTCAGCACTCAGTGAATCTACATCCAGCATCAATATCCGTCCTCTGAGGTACTTTGAGGATGTGACAGCGGCTGCTTCAGAGCTCAGAGATAAACTACAGGACATTCTGAGAGAGAAATGGACAAACGTCTCACTGACAGTGACTGAAGTGGATGTTTTACTGCCACAACCAGAGCCCAAGACCAGAGCTGAACTCTTAAAATATTCACGTAAAATCACACTGGATCCAAACACAGCAAACACACAGCTGTTGTTATCTGAGGGGAACAGAAAAGCAAAAATAACATGGAAAATGGAAAAACAGTCTTATTCTAGTCACCCAGACAGATTCACTGGATGGGTTCAGGTCCTTAGTAGAGAGAGTCTGACTGGACATTGTTACTGGGAGGTTGAGAGGAGAGGTTTTGGAGTTTCTGTAGCAGTCGCATACAAGAATATCAGCAGAGCAGGGAGCAGGAATGAATGTGAATGTGGATTTGGACGAAATGACAAATCTTGGGCATTAAGTTGGAACTATAATAGTTATAACTTTTGGTTCAACAATATCTCAACTCCTGTCTCAGGTCCTGAGTCCTCCAGAGTTGGAGTGTACCTGGATCACATTGCAGGTATTCTGTCCTTCTACAGCATCTCTGAAACCATGACTCTCCTCCACAGAGTCCAGACCACATTCACTCAGCCTCTCTATGCTGGAGTTGGGTTTGATTTTCATGAAGTCACTGCTGAGTTCTGTAAACTGAAATAGACAGAAGTCATTTAAGGGACAGTGGGTTATATTCTGCCTTTTAGTTGTTAAATCCTATTTTGTCTTGATGTTTGTTGCTGAGAGCTGATTGTTGTGGCGTTTCTTCACTGCACAGAGATCACCTGTCAATCAAACATTGTGGGCGGTACTTTGACATCTTCTCATTAGTTGTTGTGTAAATGTTTGAGTCTCTTTAGGTGGCGCTGTTCAGCCATAGAGGTTATCACTGCTCATGATGGCTTTTGTTAAGCTGAACTGACATTTCTCTGCTCTCTAAATATATAGGATTTAAAGCACCAGACCTTCCTTTATTGTAGATAGTTTGTTCTTATCACGTTGTACATTTCTTAAGATAATCTGTAATTACATTATTTTAACATTACATTTTGCTAGAGGACATTTGTAGTTGTTGTCCAAATTGATGTACAAATGAGGAAATGTAAGGTGTTACACAAATGTAATCAACATGATCATAATCAATAAGGAGATACACAGCTGCTGTGCTCAAGAGGTTTGTCATTTATTTTATACTTAAATATCTCAGTGGTCCCTGAAGGCAACAGTCTGTGTGTTCATTTAGTCACAAAGCAGAACGTGATAATAAAATGTTGTCTTATAGATCAGCTGTGATTATGATAACATGCTCTTCTACTGCTACTACCTTTACTACGACTACTGTATGACTGCACATCATTTTTATTACAGTAATAATGATCAATATTATGTATCTGTTAGTTTGACCAAGTGGGCAGTAACATTAAAGAATAGTAGTTTCCCAGCATGCTCTGTGTTGTGTTTGACTGGTCTCTGGTCCTCGCTCAGAGGCCGAGGTGCGTTCACTGACCTGGTTCAATGATAACAGCAGTGATGACTGGTTGACTGATGTCTGTCTGTGTGTGTCTGGCTCCACCTGCTGTTTCTTATTTTAATTACAGAGGACAATCTACACTGAGTAACTTGTGCACTCTTTTTATTATTTACCTTCACTACAAAGAGTCTCTGTGATACAACATTGATATGGTGAGATACTGCAGTACTACTTCTTGTGAAATACTATCGGTACACTGCACCAAGTATCTATGTTTCTATTGCACACATGCTCTAAATCTGTACTTGGACCCCCTTTCTATCATTGAGTAAACTAAGTGACATATTTTATGGATAATTCGTGTTATATTCAATGCATAACAGTAACAGTACAGAACAACTTATAAATGGTACAATAACCACAGTGATCACAATAACTGCAGGAAGTTTGTGTAAAATGAGCAGTTTGGAGGAATTTGGAGCAAAATATTTCCTTAATTTAAGAGATGAGTTTTCCTGATACTTCTATGAACTTTTTATACAGTCCTCTGTCTGTATTTAGTATTTTATTTTTAACAGTTAATCAATAGACTTTTTTGACAAATACTGTGTTTTCTCCCCACTGAGGCCACTGTTCTATCAGCTCTTTGGGTGATTTAACTGCTTAGACTACTTTTCTAATGCAGGACGAGGCGATTTAGCAGAGGTGTTTGAACCAGTACCCTGAAATCCCCGAATAGTATTTTCAACCTGAGAGTTGAACGGAATAATAATTGTAAACTCTCCTCTACCACATTTTCCCATGTGACCTGAATGCAGCATCAGGCTGTGACTCCTGTGAGCACACTGACAAAGGGAGATACACAAGAGGGCGCCTTCATCCTGATAACCAGGGATGTAATGGAGGTTAAAGCACCTCAACTCATTTTGTCTCCACTTTCGGTTCAGAACATGTTTATAGGCTGATAAAAAGCTTTATAATAAAAGTCCATTATGTCATAAAAATGCAGATACAATCTCTGTTTGCTTGTGTGTGTGCACACATACCTAGCCAATAAAAGTGATTCTGATTCTGATGTTAAATGGCTATAATACGCTTCTGATGACCTTCACTCGTGCTCAGTAAATTGGGAGACACTGAGTTTCTGTTAAAATGTGACTTTGAAATCTCTGTGAAACTCTGTCTTTCACCAACGAGTCCTGTTACATTGGAAAATGATTTATTAAAAGAGTTTCAGCCCTCACAGTGTCCCAGTGTGGAAGAACAGAGTCACATTAAATAAAAGAAAATCTGTATTGATGGGAGACTGCAATTTGGTCAATCATACCTCTCTTGGATGGAAATGGAAATATAAGTTGGAGGATTTTAACTATAAATATAATTTGGATTGTTCAATGAAGAATTATAAGAAGGTCTAGATAACACAATGTAGATAACACACCAGTACCTAAATTACAAACTATTAAAATTGGTTCTGTTGATTTCTTGGACAAAAGTTGCAATAATACATTTTTGAGGCAATCTTTGATAAATACTGTGAACCCTGGTCTCATGAAAATAATCTCAAAAACTATGGCACCACTGATTCATTGGCTTTAAGAACAAAATACCAAAAACATAAAGAAATACATTTTAAAACTTTGAATGAAATATATCCTTCAAATGAATTCTGAAGAACCAGATTTAAAGTGGATGTAGATAACCGTTACCTTTGCAACACAAATGCAGAAACAACAGTTGCCTGTTTTATTCCTGTGAAACTGTCCAACACCTGTGGAGATCCTTGCATGAGAGGCTGATTTCTTAATCCATAAATAGAGATTTCTTTTCAGAAGACTGTGTGCACTAATGTCTGAATAGGATTTATTCTAGTTCTCTTTATTTATTTTCCTTTTGTTGCTGTTGTTTCCTGCATTTATTATTAGAATGTCTTGTCATTGGTTTTACTGTGGGAGCTGTGATCCATGATGGAAAGAAAAATTCCTGGTAGAGAACTGAAGATAAAATCCTGAAGTTATCATTGGACCAACGCGATGTCAATATTGTGTTCTGGTGACTGATATTTGAATCAAAAGTCAGTTTAAATTTAAAGTGTGAGCCGCTGTGAGGTGGAAGAACTGCCTTTATGAGTGGAAGTGAAGCTGTGGCTGACTGTGGGGGGAAACTGAGACTCTTATAATAACAGTGCCAGTACAGAACAACTGATAAACGGTACAACAACCACAGTGAACATAAGAACTGCAGGAAGTTTGTGTAAAATGAGCAGTTTGGATGAACCTGTGAATTTAAGAGATGAGTTTTCCTGATATTTTCAGGAACTTTAGTATTTTCTTAATTTTTAACCATCACTTATCTTCTTATATTTTAATCTTTTCTGACAGATTCTGTATTTTCTTCTCCATGATGCCACTAGGCTACTTGTTCAGATTATTTGATTAAAAATGGTCATATATAAATTCATAACTCTCATTTTAATCCATTTGAAATGCCTTTTCAATTGAATTGAATTGAATTGAATTGAAACTGAAACTGAAATGTCTTTAATGTCCCCAAGGGGCAATTTGGTTCACAACAGGTAGCCAACACACACACATTGGCACAAAAACACATAAACATAGACACGCAGATTTTTCTTGTTATCTTTTTGTCAATAAAGTTTTCTTTGTGTGTATGACCTTAATACACACAGCAGCCATTTGAGCCTCTAACTGAACAGAAACAGTAGAAACACAAAGAGTCACGTGACTCCGCGGTCATGTGACAGACCGAGTCTGTGCAGAAGTAAACACGGAAGTAAGTACAGAAGAAACGGCTGTGGCTGCAGTGTGTCCTCGGTCCGGGTTCGTTAACGGTCGGTTTAACGGCAGCCGATAGTTTCCACTCCCCGGTTTGTGTCGGTGGTTCCGCTCAGAGACAACAGGGTGGAGAAGATGTGCGCTGTAAGGGTCGCTGTAAGGGTCACTGTGACTCTGGTGGTAGTTTTATCTCAGGTGAGCTGCTCGTCGTCCGGACTGAGGAAGGTCTCTCAGGTGAGTCCACCTTCACTGACGACATCACACACAGGCTTTTATTTTGAAATGAGAAAAACAAAAATCAGACAATTAGTTGTTTTCCGGGTTTTGTTTTTGTTTGTTTTTGTTTTGCAAATAAAAAAATACACAATTAAAAGAATAACGGAATTAAAATTAGAAAACGAAAAAAAACAAACAAAGTTTTCTGTTTGTGGTAAAAAATAACAACAAAAAAATGTTCCCCATATTTAGAAACGGTAGTCAGATTTATCGATAATCGATATTTGATCGATAAGTTTCTAACCTGTAGTTTTTACACACATGATGACGTCTCTATTATTTGTTACAACAACAAACAAACAAACAAACAACAGTTCTGACCCTTCAAATGTTCCTTTTCCAGTAAAGTTCATTAAATATAAGAATTAAAAATATATATTATTAATATCTTTTATCGCTGTTTTTTCAGCTGTAATTTAATTATCCCGATTATTTATAATAATATAAATTTCCCATTTGCGGCTGATTTAAAAAAATATATATTTATGGCTACATTCATTTATTAAGAATTTTCTATTAAATATTTAGATTTTTAATTTGTTTTTCTTTCTACTCCCTGGACAGCCTCAGAAAATGCTTCATTACAATAACTTTTATTGACAACACATTTTAAAAATAAGTGTACAACGTCCTTTACAGATGTAAGAACATAAATAAGTAGATTACAAGAGGAAATAGAAGTTATTAGTAGAGTTTTTAAAGGTTGAAAGTTTCTTTTGAGTTCAGTGACTGCAAAGACACAGCGGCTTTAAAAACAAACACGATGGATTATTTTACTCAGGCGAGTCCTGGCAAGTTGATTTTCAGAGGGAATGGAAATGAAATAAAACAGGAATGTTGGAGAACACATTCAACCACACTGTCTGTTTTGTGTTGACTGATTCTGCGTTTTGTGGACAGATTCTGGGTTTCGACTGGAAGAACTGCGGGCAGCCCGATGCTCCGGCTGTACTGAAGACTCTGACCGTGTCTCCGGATCCGATCTCCATCCCAGGGGAGCTGACGGCCGCCGCCTCTGGATCTACGTCTGTGGAGCTGAGCGCCCCGCTGGCCGTGAGTACACTGCCGCCGTTAGGGTTGGGTTCCTCATTAGAACCGATACTGTACCGATACTTTCTCGCCAACCTCCAGACATCATAGCCCAAATCTGGAGAGCAAACATAACCGAGCTGTCTTCCCAATTACATGATTCTGCAACGGTGTACTACTCTAATAATAACATATTGTTGGGAATCATGAGAGAGTCTCAGATCGACCACATAACACACAGTAAGTCACTCACGTCTGGCTGCCTGCCTACAAAAGACGAGGGAGAGTCTTGGTTGGCCATGTGCTCTAAGTGTTCTCTTTTTGTGTCTTTATCAGTTTTAAATTAGTTTCTGTTCTGTGTGAGGAAATGGACGTTTGGCCTGTGAGTTTCAGTTGTGTGACTCTCGCAGTCATGTGGTCAAAGCTATTAAAAATGAAAAACAAACGTCAACCAAGGAAGTGGTAAAGTTATCTGGAGCATCAGCTCAGCTAGCTGATTAATGTGTAGTGATTGTATCACAGTGGGGAGTTCTCTTTGTCGAAAACAGACGCCTCAGTCTGAGTAAAGTGAGATTAAACGGGAGGAATCTCAGTGGCGGATGAGTGTGTTCGAGCCACAGGACACACAGATACAGGATTACTCAGCACTGGTTGTCTGCAGCTCGTTGTTGGTCCTCAAACAAACAGGCGTGTCTGCTGGATCTGCTGCTGATCCTGTGAGCTTCATGTGAGCAGGTCAGTGCTTTGTGCTGTACACAGAGCTGAGAACAGTTTAAGACAAAGACAGAAATGTACTATTGTGTTGGACTATTATATTATATAAGAAAAAGCAAAAATTAAAGAAAATGTTGAAATGAAAACCTGAAAAGTCTTGAAATGCCCAAAGCTCTGTTGTCTCAGTTGGATACAGCTAATGAAGTGCTTTATGTCTTTTAATTCAATTTTAGAAGTCTCGTAAATTTTCTGGGGTTTATTTTGGTGACGACCAAAAACTTCCCTCTGATAGGTCAGCGTCTCTTTCGTTCTCTTGTTTAGTTTGAGTCGTTCCATCACTTTTATTTTCCACTCTGTCTACTTTGGGGTTCTGCAGGGAGCATCGTCCTGGTTCCTTCAACAAAAAGCCACTGGGACATTAGCTCCGTGGTGAACGAAGGTTTATGATACTTACACCTTTTGTTCAGCGAGATAATCTTCGTAAAGGCGATCACCAGAAGTGAAAAGCTAACGTTTGGCTATAAACGAACTACACCACGGTCGCAAGACTTCAGCGTCACCACCACTGAACTTCCAACCTGTATTTAAAATGTACAAGTTGTAAAGTTTGAGTTAGAATAGTTTGCAAGAGTATAAACACAGCGAGGTTGTAAAGGTGCACGTGTTCAGCCTTTTGGTCACCGACAACCTCTGTAGTCTCAATTAGCCACTTGTTCGTAACCGCCTTTTTTGACTTTGAGGCGAGGGAACTGGAAGTGCAACGCGGCAAACTCAGTTCCAGGTTTTAGGAATCTTTTCTGTACAAAAGTTCTCCCTCAGCGAAAACTGCAGGTCTTGTTTGTTTTTGAGGACCCAGCAGAAGTAGGTTCATGAGCCAGTTTCAGCTGTAAAGCTGCAGTCATGTGTGTAATCAACAGGGATAAAACATCTCATGACTCAGCATGTTCAATACATACAGATCACATCTGCAGCAATGAAAGCAAAACTATAAACTCCTGTTTGAGCCTTTGCTCTGTATCATAAATAGATAATAAAAAGATTGTTGTTCTGGACTGCTTTTTAGTTTTGCTTTACACGCATTAAAAGTGCTGCACTATTTGTGTGTTTTACCCTTTTTTGGCTGCAGAATTGTTGGTGGAGATAAGTAGAGAAACATTTTGTTGGTTGTAATAAAAAAAACCCAGACACTCATATTATATTATTATAGATTTTACAGCATTTGCCTTAAGTAGTTTAAAGTTTAACTGTTCTGTCAACAAGTAGAAAATTCATGTGATACAATCATCAGAGCGTAGATAACGCTGTGATGCCTTCACCCGCAGAGTAAACAAACAGCTCTGTGTCTTTCAGAACTGATCACATGGACTCTGATATTATCTGATAACTGCAGAGTGTCACTGTGTGTTTTACAGACTTTTGACCAGAATCAGTTTGTACACAAGAGTTCAAAATATTCAGAATATCAAGGATGAAGGTAATGTATTTACGCTACACACATAGAAAAGATCATTACTTACTTATTAATTAGAATAACTAAATAAATAACATAAAATAAACCAGTGTATACATTTTACGGCTCATTCTGTGGGAAAGAATGAGCTTCAAGCCTGCAAAATCCAGGTCTCTGGTCCTCAGGAAAGGCGCAACCGACCAGTTGGGCTTCTCTTTAGGAGGCATCCAAATTCATCCAAAAGCCAGTCAAGACCCTGGGTAAGATCTTCCCCAGCAACCTGGAAGACACAGCGACACGCCAAGCAGTGGACAAGTCTGGGTTTCCTCGTAAATTCAAGGATATATCAACATGGAACCCTGCCTTGACTCCTCTGGCCACTGCTGGATGAAGTCCCAGTCACCATTGTAGAGGAATCTGAAAGGAAGACCAACTAGTTCCTGCAGAGGTGGCTGGGCCAGTCCTTGGAGCCTAAGCAGCATTGCACTTTGCGGGCACAGCACCAAGGTCCAGCTTCCTTTCAGTCTTTCAGTCTGGCAGAAAGGTTCGAAGTCGCCCAAGCCAGAAAAGTCCTGCTCTACCGGGACACCAAGGTTTCCTCTGCGGGTATCGAGGTCAGTTGAGCGGGCTGAGGCAAGGTTGAAGCACAACATTCCTTTTTTTTTTTTTTTTTGTGAGGGAGCTTTTATTTGATAGGACAGCTGAAGACAGACAGGAAAGGGGGCAGAGAGAGAGGGGATGACACGCAGCAAAGAGCCACAGGTCGGATTCGAACCCTGGGCTGCTGCAGCAAGGACTCGGTACGTGGGTCGCCAGCACTACCCATTGAGCTACCCATTGAAGCACAACATTCTCATGGGCACTGTGGAAACTGGTCAGGCCGGGCTTGGGAGCAATCCAAGACCTTGCTACAGTAAAGCCTGAGGCAAGGAGCAGCAAAAGCTAATCCAGGAAGAGGTATGTGCAGAGGTGGAGGAAGCAAGTGGGAGCACACAATTGGCCAGAAGATCACCTGGGAGGAAAGTTCTTGGTCCAGTCCATGTAGGAGTTTCTGCTAAGCCCTTCCAACCCGTTCAGCTGAGGCCTGACGGACTCACCTGCTTGCCAACTCTGGCACACATCCTCAGCTGCTGTCCAAAGGCCTTGGGAGAGTGGTGGTATCTTTGGCACCATGACCAACTTCTGCGGGCAGCAACACCCATCAAAGTGCACCATTGCTTTTGTCTGAGCAATTGAGAACCCTCAGCCCCAAAGGACGATCCAAGGTGGGCTGCTCACAACCGCAAGAGACTGGTGGTTCATGGTCGACCTCTGAGGTTCCTAGACTCCATTTCCACTACCACACTCCTGATGTCCGTGGCATTCTGTGCCCTGGGAAGATTTGATCAAACCATCTCTTTCCTCTGGTAGTTCTGAGATGGCAAGAGCTGAAACTATTTGTAGACGAGCATAGAAGCTGTTTTTTAAAAACCTCAAAATGTCTGTTTTAATTTCTCTGTCTTCATTCAACAATTGTGTCCTTCCCTTTTTCTTCATTGATTTGACCCAAGGTTTGCAGGATTTTCTAATGTGTCTACAAGAACCTCAGACTGTATCCTCTTCTTCATCAGTTGAACGTGACCCTGGAGAAGGAGGTGGCAGGTTTCTGGGTGAAGATCCCCTGTTTGGAGGAGTTGGGCAGTTGTCACTATTCGGACGCCTGTGATGTCCTGAACCAGCTTATCCCTCCGGGTCAGGACTGTCCTGAACCGCTGCACACCTACGGACTGCCCTGCCGCTGCCCCTTCAAAGCTGTGAGTCTTTTTCCAGTTTTCCTTACCGATGATTACAGAAACTCTGATTTAAAGGATGTGTGATCTGTTGCATTTAAGAGATCTGAGTTGCATTTATGAGATGCAATTTATGAGGTTGTAATTTAGGAATTTTCAAAGTGCTCTCCATTATTATTATTATTGTCATTGTAGTGCCCAACAGTTTCCTCCAGATTTCCCCCAAAGACTTGAAGAAAAAACTCCCACAGTCCATCATAATATTGATAATGATACCTAATAACTCTGTCTGATTAAAGTCTGACTGTGTGTCTCCTCAGGGCTCGTACTCTCTGCCTCAGTCGGACTTTTACCTGCCCTACATGGATCTGCCCTACTGGCTGACTAACGGGAACTACCGTGTGCAGGGTGTCCTGGGCAGCCAGGGCAAAGAGCTGGGCTGCCTCAAAATCGCTCTCTCCCTTCACTCCGATTAAACCGACGCCCAAAACAGTCGGGAGGTTTCAGGTTTTTGTTTATTTGCACATAAAAATGAAAATTGGGAAACGAAAGCAGGAGTTGCACAGTGTTCTGACACTGATAAACCTCGCAGGGGTCAAGAACAGTGGGGGAAAAATTAGAAAACAGATTTCACATTTTATACATTAGCTTGTAGATGTTTCTAATGTAGCTGTCTTTAAGGTCCTACATTTTACCTGCGTACTACATTTCTGAAGTCGTTTCAGTTGGAGAACGTTTTTTTGGGGATCCAGTCTCTGTACAGACAGAAAAACATAGCATTTGGTGTTCATTAAAAATTATGGCTACTGTGTCTGACAGTGAAGCTTTTTTCCAGCGTCTGAGCCTTTGGGCAGCATTTATTTCATTCTTTATGTACAGTAACTGCTTTACTTTAGTTGCTGCTGCCAGCCACGGTGCCATTTAATAAGCAAACACGAAATAATGTGTGCCAAAGACATTTCAAGGGACGAGACTTTATTGAATCTGTGGTGATATCTGACTATCGAATCAGAATTTCCCCTCAGTTTAATTCTGCAAAAAAGCAGAAGATGATTCGAAACACCGGAAAAAATAATGTGAGGAAAACGTTGCTTCATATTTCTGAGAAAAAGTAGCCCAGACATTTGGCTGTAATCAGCGTGGCTCTCAACCTCTTTGTATGTCCACTTTGTTTTGCGCAGCTTGGTTTAAGTTGTTTAGTAGATATGATTTAGGTATGTGTGGGAAAAATCTGAACAAATCTACCAGGACCAGAAGCCCAGAGGGATTCGATCCTTTCACCAGCAGCATGTCACTCCTTTACTAGCAGAGGAAACAGTTTCTCTGTGTGTGTTTGTGTGTGTTTGTGTGTGTCGACGGTGAATGCTGCTGCGTTTGTCTGCGTCTGCCCTGGTGATGTCTTTCGCACTCTGAGAAACAGGATGATGACCTGAGGGTCGCTCTCTCAGTTCCCGATTCACATTTAAAACCTTTTTCATAGAAATGGTCAGTTCATGGTCTTCAGTGTCCGAACAAACGGAGGCACGGCGAGCCAAAAGGAACTAAACACTGGCAGCTATTCAGAGTTGCAACACGGTCAAATTGAGCAAATTTAGAAATATTAAATGTTATTAAAAAGTTTTTACTTTGAGAGTTTCTGTGTTTATTCACTGATGATAGAAGGTGAAACATCGATGCTTTTTTCAGGCCTCAGCTTATGAATAGATCAACATGTAATTCAATATTTTTCTCTCGCACAGTATTTCACACTATTGGGGAAACTTTGCTAATAAACCTTAAAACGCTCGGTACAATCTGAATGTCAGACGAGTCAAAGACTTTGAATTAAAGGGTTTGTTTTAATCATTTTGCTGCACACTGTTTTACCATTTAATCGAATGGATACACATGAATTTTGTGGGGTTTTTAGATGAGATGCTCTTTTTTAAAATGTTTTTTACAGTAATAATTCCCTTCATACGCTCTGCTTTTACATCTGTGTGTGATGTTTTTTTAAAAAGTGCTTTCAGTTCTTTCAGTTGTCGGTTGTTTCTTATTTGATGTTAGGAAAAAGGGTTTTTGGCCAATGAGTAGAAGCTCTGCTGGGAATTAAACAGTGCTCGTCTCAAAATATTCTTTGATATTATATCCTTCGTTATCTCTGATTTTATTATTTTTACTCTTTATTTTTACTAAGTGCCTGATTAGATCTTCATCTACAAACACCCATAATGAAAATCAGTCATAAAGCAGAGAGGTAACTGATTACGGTTGATGAGTTAATTATGAATTTTAATTTGCCTAAACATTTCCTTTGTTTCCTACAGTGTTGAGAATGATGACAAATGATGGAATCTGAGTCATGCTTGTAATTATTTCTATACACTGTACAGTTTTTAATAAATATTATCCCATAAATTGTGTGTTTTCATGTGAAAAGTCAAGTACTAGTAATAGAAATGACTAATTCCTAATTAAAAATTAGTAATTCCAGTGATTAACTCATTAGATTTTGCGAAATAAAGATGAAACTGCACATATGAAAAGTGGGAACAGGATTAGACGAAGTGTGTTTTCATCCATATTGTGTTTTTTATTAATCATAACTTTTACAGTGCATCTAAAAGTCTGTCTGAGTTTCACTGTAGACCAGACTGAATGCACAAATCCTCCAACACAAGCAAATAGTATGTTTATGTGCATAATGATGCCTAAAGAATCCTCCTCCTCCTCCTCTGCTGCTATAATCAATATGAATCATTGAAGACTTCTATCATGTATCTGGAGCGTCTCCATGTTTCACCAGCAGGTGGCAGCACTTTCTCTGACCACAGTATTCACTCACTGGTTCTCAACCTTTCCTGTCATTGAGTAAACTGACTAAGTGACACATTTTATGGATATTTCATTAAATATTCAATCCATAACAATAACAGTACAGAACACCTGGTGAATGAGCCCAAACAGTGAATGCGATAACAGCAGGAAGTTTGTTAAAAAAGAGGAATTTGGATGAATTTTGAGAGGATTATTTCCTGGGAATATTGCATCAGATGAGTTTTCCTGATTTTTTTCTGGGTTGTTTTTTATACAATTCTCTGTCTGTTTTATATGTCTTTTATTATATGCATACTCATAATGCTTCTTTGACAAATCCAGTGTCTCATTCAACCTCATTATTCTTGTAGATCTTTGGTTCTTTTAACTGCGTACTTTTCTAATGCAGGACCAGGCTGTTTAGCTCTGTGAATATAGCTTATGTTCAGGTCTTCCCCGTGCCCTTATAACTTAAGTAACAAGAATATTTGCATTTGATTGATGTGTCTGACTCTCTGAAAGACTTCCAGCTAGAAGAGTGATTGACATCTGAAGATACCACCCACAATCGGTTGTAATTGAATACTGTGTTCAAGAGATATGGCGGGGGTTTTACTAATGGTCATGAGGTGGAGCTATTGTCAGTACAGCTGTTTGTAATGTTACACACGTGTGCAATGTGGCCATATGAGCAACAATCCCAAATTTGGTTGCAATCCAATTCAGAACTGAAGAATTATGGTCCGTTAAGTGCATGCGAAGAAGAGTTCTGATAAAAAGTTAAAGTGATACTCAAACACGGACCTATAAGTCTTGTACGGCTCCGTCCAAATATGCTATACACCAGTTTGGTGTGCAAAAAAATTATTTACCATAAAATTGGCATCATGAATGTTCATACAAACGATAAGTGACCTCTACCGTTACCCCTTAAAAGCAAGATGGCCCCTGTGAAGCTTTGGTGACCCCTAGTGGGTGTCGGGACCCCCGGGTTGGACACCAGTGGCACATTATGAGGCACTCAACAGTACTAATGTTACTGTTAACTGCACATACTGCCACTAGAAGTACAACTACATGAAACCATAAAACACAAAACCAGAAAAACACTCCTTTGTTCCTTTGAGATTTATCCGATTTTCTTCTCCAACAAACCCAAACTAATAATACATTCTGGTTTCTTCACTATGACAAAGACACTTAAGTAGCAGCGAATGTTAACAGGAAGCAGCATGGAAAACAGAAAACAAAAGGAGGAAAATGAGGAGTCCAGGACTCGGCGTCAAGCAGGTGATGAAAACAGAACAGGTGCAACTTTTAACAAAGCTGTCGATGAAGAACCGGTTGTTTGTCATATGTTTATGAAAGAAGTTAGACTGTTAGAGGTTAACCTGCACAGCTGCGAGCAGAAACAGGAATGACAGAATCAGGATCTTGTTCACATGTGTTTTCAGCCTCGTGCGGATTCCTGGACTTTGAAAACCGATGAAAATCAGCTTCTGGCGTCTGGTAACGTTCATTAACTGTTTTCCTCTCTGGTTCCGTCAGAGATGAAAGACCGAGAGACTGAACCTCCAGAGAAGAAACAAACCGCAACCTCCAATCAGGTTGTGTTTTTATTCCCAGGGACGTTTGTAATGAACAGACCTTGAACAGTGACCTTTCAACAAGCGTCTGTAAAACCCCTACAGTACTCCGTATCAGCAACATGTGGCTTTTATTCTGAAGAAATCCTTTAAACTTTATTTAGGAACATATATGTACAAACAATGCAAACATAACCAAATAATGAAAAAGATAATGATTATATGTTAAATAAACATCATTAATGTAATGTAATTATGGAAGTTATTCTTCTTTAAAGTGAAAAAACGTCTTCATATATTCTTTAATATATAAATTATAGACATAAATCCAGTGAACTTGGGGCTACTTTTGCCATTCTGGTGAAACTCACCGTATAGAATCAATCATTAATTCAGTGTTATCATGTTTGGAAGAGGTGATATGTCATTTTAACATTCAGATTTAATGTTACGATTCATTTTACATAACATTTAATCTTTCATTTCTTTCTTAATGTGTTCAAAATATGATAAAATACTGTCCATTTCCCTTTCATTCATCCAGATATTTCTACAGGTGATTTACAGATAGGTGTGTGTGTGTGTGTGTGTGTGTGTGTGTGTGTGTGTGTGTGTGTGTGTGTGTGTGTGTGTGTGTGTGTGTGTGTGTGTGCTGTAGCAGACGAAGAAAGTGCACTTTAATTTCAGAGGGACTTGGAGAGACAGCTGCAGACCACTTGTTCCTGTTAATCTCAGACAGGAAGTGCACACTTTGGCAGCTGCAGCATCTCAACCAGAGAGACGCTGATGTGGTTTCACTTAAGAGAAAAAACCACAGCATGTGGACGCCAGGCATACAAACACAGAGCTGTATTAACAATGATAATACGCTGGGTTTAGAGTTTACATCTCTGCATTGTGTGATTGTGGCCACTAGAGGGCAGACATATTCACAGTTATTTCCATTTAACTTCACTTTAAAGATCCTTTCCAGACATGTATTATGAAATATATACAAATAGTGTGCTTGGGACATAAATGTGTGTTTGATATGTTTTCTTTTTTGTCATCACACAGAAAATAATTAATTATTAGAAGGTAGGTTCAGCTTAGTTTATGTGAATTATTAAGGTTAAAATACTCTGCTCCACACTGTCAAACCAAACTCCATTAAAAAAACAACCGTTTTAAGTTAGGGATGTATTTTTATTCACAGTAAAACTTTATTTCCACCATCACTAAGACTCTCGCACACGTGATTGACTCTGTAACGTCATAAACTAACCTTTGATGAAGTGTTTGACACAGGCCACCCCTTAAAATTTTGATGTTCAATGAGCTCAGAGAAACTTTCCACTTGCAGCAGATGAATGTGAAAACATCCTTCTGGAGTCAAACTCTGCCCACACATCATTCAAACATCACACTGTAGCAACAAGAAGAAACACTGATATTTGAGCGGAGGAGGACTTAAAACATCCTGCGACCTGAAACTGTAAGGAGAGGTAATGAGGTAGTTTGAGCCTGTAGACAGATACAATGTGATCTCCCTTCTGTCTTCTGTCTGTCGGGTATATTTTATTGAGCTCTACGCCTTCAATTCTTGCTTCATATTGATTTTCTTTTTCTATGGGAGGTAAATAGAAACCCTTTTTTTAACTACAACTCCTGTTTCCTATATTGTCTAGCTGTTGGTCCATGACAGTCATGCTGCTCTTCATCTCTTACAGCTTATTCTATAAGGTAAAGGTCAGCACTTAATGCAGATAATAAACCTCTTTACACTGCCACCTGCCACCTAAACAGGGCCTCATCTTAACCTGAAGTCCAAGCTTTTACTCAATAATCTTATTGTATTATTATCCACTAAGACCTTCAAGCAACTATTAGCATGCAGACATGTATAATAAAAATAGGCCCTGATCTGAGAGATTCTTTTGTAAATCTAATCACAGCGGAATAATCATGATCATGAGATGAAAGCTTATGGTGTTGTAAATGTAATTTTCTTTTTAAGTGTCACAGCGTCTGCATGGGAGCTTCCTCACCGTGCCCTCAGAGGTGTTAATGTGACTCCGGCTGGAAAATCGAATCAAAGTCCATATTTTGTTTCTTTCTTTGCTCCATTTAAAATTTGGAATTTCCAAAATTGGATTAAAGCTGAATGTGTTGGAGTTCACAGACGGCGTCAGAGCGCGACCGACTTTAAACTGATTCAATCTGGATGCCTCTCTCACAGCTGTGTGTGCAGTTTATTAAGATACAGTACAATTACATTATAACAGAAAGACTGTGTGGATTCACAGATGTGGTATTAAGAAGAAATGTTATTATTATTTTCACATGATAACTTTATGATATAAATCTTATTGCTAACTCGCTGCGCACGTCCAGAAATAATACCTACAGCGTCAGGTTTTGAAGCGCGGGGGGGGGGGGGGGGGGGGGCACTCAGCTGCAGTAGTTGACCATTTGGGAGTGAGAACGTGTTTGATATACACATACCGCACCCACGAATACAATCCGTCTACATCAGTATGCACCTGCATCCATAGATGTTTATGAATGCTGTGATATTTATTTAACGTGAGAGTTCATTTTTCTGTGTGTGTGTGTGTGTGTGTGTGTGTGTGTGTGTGTGTGTGCTGAGGAGGTCAGTGGGTCTGGGTGAGGTGGAGGATGATCCACAATCGCAGGAAGAAACAATTAACCCTGCAGACATACACACACAACTGTTATGATGCTGCTGTTTCCTCAGTCTGCGCTTCGCTGCGTCGCCTTCATTTCATCTGCTCGACAACGGGACACTGACAGAACACACACAGCGTGTAGAGTGAGAGTATTGTGCACATTTCTTTTAAAGGTCTTCTGTTTATTCAACACAAACAGGAAATAACACATCATCACTTCTTCTGCAGAAGAAAAACAACACATTCATTTCAGAAACGAGGTAGCAAACAAACAATATCATGAGCAAGTAGATACGGATGAGGATGTTGAAAGTGGAGGAAGGAAGACGCCAAGATCACTGTCAGA